GCCCATAACCCAGTATGTGAAACTTTCAGAACAGTTCACAGCTTTTAAATATCCAGTCAACATGTTGCCAAAAGTACAGGATGTACTTGATGCAAGTGGGAGAGGAGGGGGGAGCACGAGTCCACGCCGTAACTTGGTACAGCTGTAAAACAAACATTTTTTTGTTCCGATTCTGTTCCTACTTTAGTGAAGGAGCTGGGAGGAAGACAGTGAATGTCAAGTAAGTCGTTTTTCTCCCCAGCCCCCACGCCCCCCAGGCACACATTTCCCTTTTAACATTCTTAGATTACCACAACCTTTTAAATTCACTATACTGTACTTTCATACTGTATTAGACACACCAGCAATTATGTTTGTTAGCATGACACATCCATTGCTTACACTTAGTTAACAAAATAACTTAAAAGTCGCATGCATCATCCTCTTAATAGGGTTATAATCAATGGGACCATGGAACGAAAGCCCTAAAAATTACCCCCCACCTCTGCATTCCCTGGGCTCCTGCCTCTGCCAACACAATCCATATGTCGGGCAGTCTCTTCGGGCTCAAGGTGAATGCTCTGTTCTTTGCAGTCAGTGATCTCCTCTTACATGTTTCTGCTATGTTTTTCCCCACAGTAAATCCAAGGAACTTTGAAGAAAATTCTGCGTAAAGGAAACAGAATACATTAATAATTTAATTCCTACTACTCTCCTGACTGGGGGCAAAACACCCACCACAGAACAGGTTTGCAATGAGGAACCTTGTGCTAGGCTTTATGCTGAGCGAGTTATGGCCATCCATATCAAAGCTGCTCTCTGGCCTCACCTAACGGCCTGGCATGCCTAAGTGATAGGGCAGGGTAACCACAGCCCCTGCAGATGATATCTGCTGGCCTCCTAGCTCTGAATAATTTGGCCTGAATGGCAGCTGGAGGCAGAGCAGCTCTTCCCCCACCCCAGGGCATCTCGGCCACACAAAAGGGAAGCAACGGCAGGCAGAACCTCAGTTTCAGCTGAGCTGGTGCAAATGCCATAAAAGGTGGGCATTATTGCGAGAGACCTCCAAAGAGGGTAGAATCACACGCTTTACCCAAGAGCTTCTGACTGCGCTCTGTGGATCATCTGCCTCCAAGACATCTTGCACTCATGCTCTGCAGTACAGCTGTGTAAGAAAAGCAGCCGTGGGTTCCAAGATACTTTTTGGAGGTAACATTTCATTCAGCCATGCTATTGGCTGGGGATAGGTATACTGCACAACTACAAGCACCCTGTCTGAGACAGAGTGCAGGAGGATGCATTGGAACCCTTCTCCCTCCCCCTTCCACTCTCAACTAAGTTATGATGCTGCAGAGAAAGGACAAAAAAAAAAAAAGGTGGGGGGGGAGGGGAAAGAATTCAGTGTTCAACTTATCAAACTCGGTCTGGGTCTCAGCTCAAATCAAGGTGAAATAGGCCTGTTCTAAGCCTCTTAAAGATAGGATTTATATAGTAATTACAGTAATGGAAACTGATCTTGATAATTTTTATATGGCCTAGAATTCTGCTGTGTCATACGCATCTGCAGAGCCCAAGAAGTGCGCTTTTCGGAGAGCACTGCAGTCTTCAAAGCAGCCATTCATATGTATAACGGAGAATTATCAGAGTATGAGTATGGTGGAGGTATAATGAATGACAAAGAATCCGACATCCTGGGAAAAGCAAGGTGCACACGCTTGAGGAAAGTTGTATTTCCAAAACAGTTTGTTTTCTTGGAAGTTTCTGGAACTACACCTTCATCACCGCGCTGCAAACAGCACTGAGAATGCCCCTGTATTTTTATGTTTCCTCTCTTTTTCTTAGGTCTAGAGAGACCAAAACGCTTCTTGGCCAGCTGCAATCCTCACATCCTCTTTCCAGTTTTCTCTGTTGAGCAAGGAAAAATACAGGAGTGCTGTCTTTGCTGTACGGTAAAGAAAATCTTCAGGAGATTTGGAGATCTGATAGGGGGTTTGGCTCCACCTTCAGGAAGCAGAAGGCAAAGAGACAACACGATTTTAAATTTCAGACATACTTTCTGCCAAAACTAAGCCTACAACACCCTTGTTGAGACATTGATTCCTCCCCAGTGTGTCTTTGCTTCATACAGATAAAAGATTCCCTAACCTGATGCCGTGCTATTTCTATGGTTTTGATTCAGCTCTGAAGAGTCCAACTCCTTGTGGAGCTTCTTGAGAACTCGTGGAAGGATGTCCCAAACCAGCCAATAGATCAACAAACAGCTGACGTGTGGACAAAGAAAAGCAGCTTTGAGGTGAGAAAATTAAGCTGCCACACATAGAATGTTGCAGTCCTGTATCAATTATCAGTAATTTACACCCTCAGCGCTTAGGAAATTTTCTTGTATACCTCACAGAGATTAGAAACGTTCCCTGAGTAACACAGATGAATTGAGAGGAAGAAAGCTGGAGGAGTCTTGATCAAACTGCAGCCCAGCAAAATACCTGAGTAAGACTTTTCTCCCCAGATTCAGGCAGTGAGTGCAGAAGATGCAAACTAATCAATCTGTCACATTTCACCTCTTGGTTGAGGTTGAAAAAGTTTGAACCCGGAAAGTAGCAGCTGGTTAAAAAACGTTATTTAAATGAATTAAAATGCATTCTTTTAAAGAAGCTGTATAATATATTCTATAATGATGAAAATGACAAAGCAGTTAGAGCTGAGACTGCCCTTAGTTTGAAAGACTTTACCTTATCAGTGAAGTAAAAGGCAATCACAATTGGTGACAGTCCTGTAAGGCAATGGAAGTGTATGGCTGCTAGTGAAACCAGGCCCTTTCCCCAATGGGGCGCTTAAGCCCCCAACCCAACTTTATTGCATTCAACATCATTTTCTGGAGGAAACGGGTTTGAAAACTGCACAGCAAGCAGCAGGGATGGCTCTCAGTGCAGAAATGGACTAAACACCTAATGAATCTAAAAATAAAATAATAATAAAAAAAAACAGTGCTGAGAAGAGATGCGAGGAGACTGAATAGACATCGCTGTGTAAGCAAATATAACTGAATATACTCCTGAGGAACAAAGGAAACAATTCTTGATGGGGTGACAACAGATGTTCTCCAAAAAAATTCTAACGGAGCATTTCAAACACAAAGACTTTCCTGTGGAGCTGAGAAGTTTTACTGGCAGGCACACTGGTAATCCATCTTTGGAAACATAATAAACCCTAACATTTAAGGTGCTATCACGTCCTGAAGGCAGAAGTGATATCTTCATGTAGTAAGCAGTGGGTGGTGGTACAGAGGGAAACAGTTAAGATAACAACATGCTGTCACAAGAAGTTGTTGTAGCATGGTCTTGATTTAAATGGCTGGAGGGAAAACTAGTCAGAGAACTTCTAAAATAGTCTTTTGAAAACGTGCTTTCTACTCAGGCTAAGGATGTGCAGGTTGGTCTTATAGAACAAGCACAATCCACAACAATTGAATTGTGTGGGCACACCTAAGTGCAGCCACTTGTACTGTGTGAGTGAAGGCAGTGCGTCCAAAGCCAGATGTTCCTATGGGCTACTGCCCTTTCACATCGTGGTCAAGTGTATTGCAGAAAACTCTACAATGTAGATTGGGGAGAAAAAAAAAGTCCTCTCTGCAATGACTGAACTGCCCTGTTACTTTGGGAAGATCTTGATTTAATTATTTACTTCCTGGCTTCGTTCTGCAGAATCTTAACTTTGCATAGGCTTTTAAATGTGAGGCACTTCAAATTCTTTTTTTTAAACTCTTTATTTTTTTTTAATGCCTAAGATAGAGAATAATACTTCTGTCTTTTGGGGTTCTTGAAAGATCTCCTGAGCATCTGCAAGGCAAACATATCATTTTTCTGGAAACAAGGCAGGAGGATGACACAGTACATCGTTTAATTGCTTCTATTGCTTTTCAACTACTTTTGAGAAAAAGCTACAACCAAGAGAGATTATTCCAGTGCAGTAGGAGCCATCAGAACCACAGAAACGCTAAGATGGACAAGTTGATTGACAGGTGAATGCTAAAGCAGACAGCAACACAGAAAATCATCATAGGACAGACGTTTTGGTAAATATTACCGTAGCCAATTTATTATTAACACAGTGGGACAGCTTTACATCTTGCATCACACTTTTCACAGTCCTTATGGTAAACGTGCCGTATCTGACAATTACAAGATGAAAACGAAGACCTCACTAACTCTGTACTGGCCCTGCAGTACTTATCTACTTATCTACTTACGCAGTTAACCCTCTCTAAACTTCAGCTGTTCAACCCAGCACGCGTGTTCAGATATAGAACATAATTTCAGTCATGTGCTATACAAGCTGCAAGGGTTATGTCATCTGTGACATTAATTTCTACAGGACGCTGCAGAAAATGGAGAGGGTTATGGAAGAAGTGGAAAGTTGTTAGTTCGGGAAGAGGATGATGTGGAATGCCATCATCTAAAGAGAAGAGAAAAGCCTTGTGCTGATGCTCCAAATGCCGTTCTATCTGGTCACCCTTCTGTCTTGCTGCTACGACAGAACAGTGCAGTCCTGAGAACTGGGGAGGCATTGTGAGACATCACAAATGGAGGATTGGGATGAAAAAATCCCACAGTGGCTTTTTTTACTCTTTGGATTGGTTCTGGATTAATCTTCTGTTTCTACAGAAAGACTGTAAATTAACTTAGAATAACTGATCTTTCCTTCTGCTGACCACTTTATTTCTGGGAGTAACAATCTATCTGACAGACCTCTTAACTAATCATATTTTCATCTGATTCACACAAAATGGTCCCGGCATTCTTTTAAAAATAATGAAGCACAAGATGGACTGCTGCAGTCACCAAGTCGAGCCCTCTGCTACTTGTACATATGGAGATCCATTTTAAAATGAAATCTTGTGAGATGAGTTCCCCGAGATCTTTTTTTTTTTTCCAAATTGAATTGTGTGTAGTGTTGTGCTATTTTCAGAGCTATATTATCAGCTGCAGCGTTAGAAAACAAAAAGCAGACAAATCACAGGATGATATGAGCCACGGGATTTTATTTGATTCCAGCATTTATTTTCCATCCACTTCCTGTCTGGTTTTGAAAGTGCTCATTTCAGAAACTGAAGCTGACACGCATAAAGAGCATTTGGTGAAAGACAAAGGGGAGATGCAACAAGTGTCAGGCAGGTGAACGAATCTAATGGAGTATTCTTGTCTCTTTGAACCCATAAGTAGAGTGTGTTAGCAAGTATTAACAAAGTTATGTCTTTTCATGTAAGTACAAAGTGTTGTGTGTAGTTGATTCTCATTACATCATACGTCAGGTTTCACTGATTTGGAAAGCAAAACAGGATTTTTATTTTACAAAGCTTCCTGTGCACCAAGTCTTAATGTAGGTTTAAAAGAGACTAACAATTGTGCATTGAAAAATCAATTCAGGCATCAATTTTTGTAAAATATTGGTTGCAGACACTAACAACGTTTCGAAAGTTTCATCTGAAAAGCAAAAGGACAGCCCAAATTACTGAAGGAAATCTACACTGAAGTTTATATAGCGTGGATGTGTCATTCAGTTACTGCTGGTTTTCATAAGAAGGTGAAGGGAATGTTTAAAATTGGTCAAATAGCATCAAGATTCTGTTGACACGTTTTCTGTCTCTGTGTATACGTTTTTCTTTGAAGAAACATCCACGTAAATCTTGGCTATCCTAAAGAATTTGGTCAAAATGCTTTGAAGGACACAGGATTTATTTCACAGAAACACAACTGATTAAAAAGAAGAACCTTCTAAGGGCTTTATTCAAACAAAGAATTCACTTTTTGGACATTCTGTATCTGTAAAACAGATGCATAAGTTTCTTTTCAGGAAAAAAAAAGGAAGTATGTATCTTACTATGGGTAGTTGCAAGAGAGGAGGGAAAAATATTAGTTAAAAAAAAAATCAGAATAATCATAACAGCTATATGGTATTCTAACCTCGGTGCACCCAATGGTCACCTTTCTATTTTGTCACCCATGGTACTATTTTTTAAGTAGACATGTTTCTACTGTTGATTAGCATTGATCAAATTGTACAGCTTGCCCCAAATTTGTCTTCAAACTTTACAGAATTGTTTCAGTTAAAAGGATTTCACATGCTATGCCAGCACAAGTTTCAGGGCCACCTGGACTTTACCTAACAGGATAGAAAGAAAGGCCATCTGCGGTTTTGGTTCATTTCCAAACTGTGATGCTTGTTGCAACACAACAACATGCAACAGTTCTGAAGACAGATCCAAGTGCCTTCCTGGCCCATTCATGATAAAACTCTCACTGGTTTCAGTGCACTGAAGACCAATGCAGTTCTTCAGAACTACCTCCTTCTTCCCTTCAACCCTGTAAATTATGCTGAGGCACGGAATAACATTGTGCAAACAGCAAAAGCCTGCTTATTTCATAACTGTACAACCTCACCACAAACTGTGTGCTCACAGAAACAGAGCAGTCAAAGAAACCTGGCTCCTTTGTGGTAAACTCATGCATTTGATGAATTTTCGTATTTTATCATCTTTGTTCAAAGTGTGTCTAATCAGTTCTGATGAAGTGTAATTAATAAGTCACCAGCAATTCCAGTGGACGACTAGATCCTTCTGTAAAACTAAAGCACACTTCTGCATGTGACACTTACTGCCAGGGTTAAGGGTAGGTCTGCATCTTCCTGAACGTCGTGTTGGTAATAGTGAGCCGTGTCAGCCTCGCTCCATAATAATCTATAATGTAACTAGAGCCATCAGAAGGTCCAACAATCTACAAGAGAAAAAAAAAACAAGACTTTTCAATATAAAGTGAAATATATGCTTTGTGCTAATGTCTCAATTATTGCTAATTTTCCCATCATAAAATTAGTCATGCTTAATTACCCAAACAGAAACTAGATTTATTTTGAAGTTATGCCGTAGTTTAACTATTTTAGCGAGCGCTGTCTCAGGAGGAACATTTCCCTGGGGTTTCTAATCAGCCAAATTATAGAGCTGGGCACTGCTGCTAGGTTAAGCTGATGAGGATTTGAGTCACAAAATCAGGCTTACAAATGAGTGGGTCCCAAAGCACTTTTCTTGAACAAAGGCAGGCAGGTAGGAGAGAATTAGGCTGATGACAAGAGTATTTGAAATACTGCACAGGTAAGCAACAGAGAGACGGAGAGAAGATCACGGTGTTTTTGTTCTGGAAATGCTAAACTGATGGAGAGTCACCAGGGAGATGAATAAGGAGAGATGAAAGATACTCTCAGTGTGTCAGTAAGCCATGAGGCAAAACACACTGATAGTAAAGAAAGAAAATTGAGGATACACGTATTTCAAAAGTTAAACATTTTTCTATTCACCCATATAAATAACTTCTATATCCTCAATGTTTTTTGAGTTCACGATAGGCGATGCATAATTTGTGCTCAATGGATGCACTGTAAAGTAAGACAATTTGGCAATTTTATGATGTCACAACATGTCACCCCAGCTGGGAATTTAACCATCAGGAATCCTACAGCAGCAGCTCTCTGGTGATGTGGGACTTCAGTTTGAAGAGGCAGGAAGAAATGGGCAATGTCTTCTCAAGCGCATGCTGCCTAAACATCCCAGGTCACAAAGCAATGTAAATGCAGAGCTTCGGGACTCTGGGAACACCAGGACACCTCTCAGGTGTCACAAAAAGAGCTCAGAGGTTCTGACACTGAATTTATGGTGCTACAGATTCCGAGCTATTCTTTCTAAGTATTTAAAGACAGTTCATTTTCTCATTTTAATATAAACAATAAATACCTTTTGCCCCTGTGTTCTACAGCATCAAGCCGGAAACAGAGCCACAAGAAATGCCTTGATTTTTCAATACACAAGAGTTCTTAGGTTAAAATGCTAACAAGGAATTAGTAATCAAAAATTTAGCAAATACAGATTTGTATCTTGCTTTGAAAGCACCGACTTACCTGCATTGAAATAAGTATGAAATCAATTAAGCTACCAATTCCACAAAATCCTACAGTGCAGAACTTTAACAAACCTAAAAAAAGAAAATAAAATTCAACAGTAGCTTTACCAGCGTTTATGAAGTCTGTATGCTGCTGGTTGCAATCACATCCCAACCCTCCACTATATATATATATTATATATATATATATATTTAGAACTGAAGTCAAATATCTTTAATTATCAGGGGAAACACCATCTGAACATGCATCCTGAATGCACTTGAGAGACTGAAGTAATGTTCTTTCAAACAGATATCTATCCTTGAACAAGTCAAAAGTTGATAATCAAGATACTGGAAAATTTCATTTATTTGCAAACAGAAGAAAATCCCAAGTTGGGCTACAAAATTTACTTATGAATAGAATAGAGGGAGACTCTCCATTGTGACTTGGAGCATGTAATGATTTGACTTAGAGAACATGCTACTTCAGAAAATTGTTTTAGTATCACTCCTGTAGTTTTGCTGAAATATGAATTTATTTTGAATATATATACATGTACATGCACAGAAACACTTCTTTTTAATCAGTATTCCAAAAAGGGTGGGGGGCTTTTATACAGATAAATGAAAGATTCATAGAAAATATATGGGAATAGCAACTAGCAAATAAATGTTTCATTGAGAGGCGGACAACTTTTGGAAAGTGTGTTTAGAACAAGATTGACTCATTTTTTTTTACTTTTTTTTAATATCAGTAGTTTCTTGTACAATCAGTATAATACAAAGAGTACTATAGATATTACAAGTTGATAGTTGCTGAGCTAAGCAAACATCTAAGTTATTTTGAGAAGAAGAAGACATTTGTCTCTTTACTGCATCCTCACTGTACTTCCAGGGACCAGTATGCCTCTGAGGTGAGGAACAAGCATGCTGATAACAGCACACAGGTAGTATCTTGTGGCACTTCTTGCCCACCAACAAGTCGTGCTGTGCTGCTAATGCCTGACATTAGTGAGAAAACACACCAGTTTTCCCCAGCCAGCTCTCAGTCTGACGCCTGAAGGTCTCCTGACCTCTGCCTCCTCCTCTGAGCTCCCCTCTCCCTTGGAAGCAGCGATCTGCCCAGCACACCACCTCCTCTCCCCCATGCCCTGTTTCTGAGGCTCCACATGGAGAAGAGTGGGGGAGTAACGGCTTGCACACTGTGGGAAGAGCATCCCTCCGTCTGGAGACAGCTCCCATTGCTGACAAGATGAAAAGAGCTGATTTATAAACTTTAGTGAGACAGTTTATCATCATTCCATGGAATGACAGTGTAGTCAGAGAGAACAGAGAAAATACATCTAATGACCAAGAGGATGAATAGCAGGACGGTCTTCCAGCTGATTAAAAGAAAAGCCCACCTGCATATTACAGCTGAAGTTGTGCCACTTATATGTGCAAAAACTCAGGCTAAAACAACTCATCCCCAGAAACTGACGGGTGAGATTTGCTGTGGTCAGATATGGTTTGCCTGGTATCAGTGCAAACGTTACGTAACAAAACAGAAGGGACACAGCCACCAAAAAAAAAATAACTAGCCCTAGGAAAGAGCGGTTAACATGATTAAATACTATCAAATCCTTGGTGACCACATTTACTCTGTTTCTACCTCACCACTGAAATATTTCTTTGTGACTCTCACTATGCCATTTCTCTCCAGCTGCAGTCCCAGAGCTCGCCGTCAGCTCACCTTTTAGGAGCCCAGCAGTTCCCTTACCATGCCAGTTCCAGCAGTGGCTCCAGTTCACTCAAAGAACTGTCTGCATCCTGGTGAGCCACCCAGTGTTCCGTTACTGGATGCAGAAGTACTATTTCTGAATGTGGCACAGGTTTCTGGAGCATGGAGTAAAGTTGATTTTTTTTTCCCTGCCCACTAGCAGGTCACACTGAGAAAATAACCTGCTCCAAAGCATGGGGGTAAAAACAGCAGTCTTAGATGGTAATAACTCATGTTTAGTTCACAGTGTGTGGGGGAGGAGGAGTTGCCCTCCTATTTCTTCACATTCAGTAGCTTGTTTGTATTTGTGCTCTCTTTAAGATAAGAGGAGGGGGAAAAAGGCAAGTTTACACACTTCATTATGTTTGCACAAAATATTTAAATGCTAATCCCTTTCTTTATCATTTTTGCTAAGGTATGGATGCCCTAAAAAAATAATTTGCCACCACGAAGGAGTCCAATTTATTGATTTTATTTTTCTTTTCAACTGTTGAATTTTTCTTGTTTGGCTTTTAAAAGACAAATTTTTGTCTTTAGAGGAGTTTAATTTTAAGTCTTTTGAATACTGGCTACAGTATATTCCTGTGGGGTTAGTAAGCATGAGCCATACAGAACTCTTATATAGGAGCAGAATATTTCCATTTACTGCACTGCAATATACTGCAAAATAAATACTGCAAATTATTATTCCAAATCCAATGATACAACAAAAATGTGCACCTGAGCAATTCCCAAAATATCTTCTTAAGAAACAGATGGACAAAATCAGAGCTAATTATGGAATCTCAAGGAAAAAAGACACAGATGTGAACCTGAGATTAACCAGAAGGAAAACAAAACAAAACAAAACAAGGATTTCTATTTGATGGGCAGAAACTCAAAACTCCCAGCTGAAAGGACAGTAACATGTCCAGCTTTTTCAATTCACTGCTCCATGCTATCTAGACTTAAATTTACTCCATTTGTCTGGCTCAGAAACAGAGAAAATCCAAGACAACGAAAGTAATTCTAACATACTGAAGTCCCCACGTTATTTAAAAGCCACTGGCACCATCTCCCTGGGAATCAGGTCCTAAAAGCTGTAAGAAGAGGCAGTTCCTATTAAAGGTCCCAGCTTCTGCAGAGCTACTACTAATACCATGCGCCGTCTTGGCAATAGCACTTGCCAGAATAAATCTACATCCCCAAACCCTGGGTTTACCATAAAGTTTGTCCCCTATTTACCTGTTAGAACAAAGCACCATTTAGGTAGCTGGCACATCAGCCAAAACGACTTCTGTTCCACTGGCTGACAGAGAATGCAGAGTTAAATACCAGCATAAAGCAGAACAAATGGCAATAATCATGTTTGCTTGTGAAGGTTTTGTCTGCTGGATAGCTATATATCCATTTGTCATCACTGACTCCGACAGGATAGGAAGCAGAGGCATAATAACCCAGGATTTTATCTTATTTGAAAATGAAGTAAAGCTTCTAGATGTAAATACCAAAACTATGACAGCCAGCACTTTTTATTCAAAATATATATTCACACAAACAACTCAGTCATTACAATAAGCTTCACCTCAAAGTAAAAATAAGAAATAAACTTACCTAAGGCAGGATAGCCTAGATAAAATCTATCTGCTCCCAGCCATCCAAGGAATAAGGACAGAGCCACTGCCACTTTGTAAGAGTATCCATTACTGCCAAAAGAAACGAGAAATGTAGACTGCAAAATATATGCACTCCTATTTTTGAAAATTAAATAGTGACTCATTTGCTGCTTCGGTTAAAATAATTCAAGTCATATTTGTTATTTATCTTAAATTAACAAAGACAGAATTGATGTTAAGCTTTCAAACTTCACAGACATCCTCCATAAAGCAACCTCGGCTTTCCCAATTCTAGAATACTCTTGCAGAATACTGATTCTTTTGATGGTTATTCTGGAACTAAATCATCATTTCTTGTCAAGAAAGACATAATTCAGTTGCTGATACATTCCCAGTTTTACAGAGCATTTTCTAATAGGTCAGCCCTATTGAGACAACACCGGAAAGCTAAGAGGTGTACGCACACTGTCTGTAGGCATTAGCCTCACATCCAGCCAAATAGAGAGGAACGGGGTAGACAGGTGAGATGTCAGCAGAGACAGTAATTGCAATGAGATCTGAAGGAGAAACGAACCATGGCCACGGGCTGAAGAAGCCGCAGGAAGGATTCAACAAAAAGGGTAAGACGTGCAGCTATCCACGTACTACACACTAAGGGCAGTAAATGGCACGCGCTCTTACAAATGAAAAGGACTGTGAATTGTACGAGGATGTCAGTGGCAGACAGACACCTGGAAGCTACGCATCCCACGGCCAGTCACACCGAACACACAGATACAACAGGCTTCCTGAGATCCACACTAATTGGCACCGCTCTTGCCCACAGCTGGAGTGATGTGGCCACCGAACCATTTGCAATTTTCAGTCACTGCTGATGTGAACTTTATGCTAATAGGTAAGCCAGAAATGTACGGCTATCGGTACTAAAACCATCCTCTGCTGCACTGGCGAAAAGCTACCCTCTGAAAAGAGCAGAAACCCAAATGTAATTAGGACTTTAAAAAATCCAACAATTTACTGTTCTGATATGTGCATTAATACGTGCCAGCAATTACTTAATAAGCCCAAATTAAACTCTTGGTTGACAGTTGAATAAAACATAAGAGTTTCACAAAAGGCAGTAGCTGAGAATGGTCCAAGCACCTTCATTAAGCGCTTTCAATGCCAAATAAAGATCTACATTTTTGCTTATTATCTAGATTTACCGACTTTAAAACTTAATGGCAACATTAAGTGATTAAACGATGACTCCTACCTCAATATTTGTTATTTAGTGCTTATTGGCGACATAGGACATAGTGGGCATTTCTGGAACCTAATGTAATGTAAGTGACCATCTTTAGAACTGTCTTGTTTCCACTGTAAAGAACACTACTTGTTTTACTTAAAAGTTAAGGTAAAGTTGGAAAATGTTTCTCAACTGAGATGCGTCAAGAAGTCATCCAAGGACACCAATACATAGAACTCTCGCATAAAAGGTGGGGACACACTTTTAGATGCTCCTGATCAGAAACAGTAATGAAGCAAACTTAGCATCAACGCTGCATTGAGATGCTTTGAACAGGAGACCAATCTGCACCTCAGCAACAAAACTGAAGGGCAGAAGAAATCTACCAGGAAGTGGAAGCATGTAGATGCTGTTAGCAAGGGTGCATCCACTCTTGTATATCCTTTCTCATTCATTCTCTCAGATAAAAATATGTGCCGAAGACTAACGCAGCAAGTAAGAAAAGAAAACTTCCCATTAATCTAAAGCAACTTCTGCAATTGGGTAAAAATACAATTCCTTCCCAGTTGCTTTTCCAATTTTTCTTATTTATTGGCCTATTCAGTCTTTCTCTGTATGTTTCTCCCAGTTTCTATTTAAAAACTTCTCTTCCTGCTCTTCACACCAGTTGATACTACACATGGGGCTGCTATATGTGATGGTGTTTTCTGTGCTCTTTCAACATCTCTTAGCACTGCTGCAAGGCCTGCCCACACTCAACTTCAGGACTTGCACAGCCTACCGCTCTAAGGGCTTCTTGCTTGGAGCACTAAAACTTGAACAATATATATTTTGAATAATCAGGGCTTGAACATATTAAATGCAATAAATGATAAGTGTGCCAATTTGGGGAATTCCAGAACTTGGCAAAAATCTACCTCCAAAACATTAAATCAAAACCAAATCAAATCAATCACAGCTCCCACTTCTTTGTTGTAGCAACAGGATTAGTAATTACAAGCTTTTCCATGAACAAATACTATGAGCAACTGAATTTGAACACATCCTCTTGAAACAGACTCATGGCCTTGCTCAAAAAGAACAGGATCCCTGAACTGCTGGTAAATTAGGGTTTTGGCCAAGGACAGCATGCTCATCTGCCCCTTCCAAAAGCCAGGGACAGACATTAACCTGCTGCCCCCACACTAGGACGATCCTGCTGTAGGAAGATGCCTTCTCAGACCAATTTTCTGGTTAAATGATGTGCGGTTATTTGTGCCAGAATACAGCTAGTTTTCATCACATCTCAGATAAGATGTTGGAAAATCTCCAAAAAGCAGCAGAAAGTGAAAGCGTGCCGTTGTAATATCAAGCTGGAGAATTCTGCTTAAAATAATGTTTCTAAGACTTAGGTAAAAATACCTTATAAAATGTTGATATAATGAGAAATAATCAGACTTTTAAACAAACATAAGTACGAAGGATAGCCATTTTAATCTTGCTGCCAATTTTACCTGGTTTGGAAGCTTTACCAAGGGCATGCCTATTTAACTCTTCCAACATTTACAGCTGAATTTCTTAGAATTTCCAACAAGCCCACAAAGGGTCCTCTTCCATGTCTGTCATACAATCATAGGATTGGAAAAGCCACAGCAAGTTGCTTTCATAGTTGGACCACTGATTATTTTATTACAAACAACAGTCACTGTAAAGTGACAGACATCAGAAGAACAACACATTTCCTGCCTACGTAGATTGCTTTTACAAAAAAAAAGAAACAATTTTATTAAATGAGTGTAGTTCATCTTATTCTCAGTCCCCCTCGCAGATGGGACTGAAACACAATTGCTTCTGGACAAAAATGTGACTGAAGTCTATTTTGCTAGCATTTAAATTTGATTAGATTTAATAATATGTTTTCTACAATTTGCTGAGCTCTGACTGTTGAGAAGACTATATGCAGAGAAAATATTTATGAAACTAAGAGGCAGAGCTGTCCTTCTGAGTTAGACAAATTATTGAGCAGTACCCCATCAGAGTTATCTGCCTACTAGAGCAATACCAGGGTTAAATTCTAACCCTAACCCTGTGAATACGCAGCAAACATTGCAACTGGAGTTGTAACTTCCACAAATTTCACAGCTGGACAAAAGAATAAGATTCCTGTGTGAATCTAAAAAAAAAATATACTAAAAAAAAAAGAGAAACAAATGGTGCTGACAGGTGTTCACTGATCATTACCACTGGCCAGTTGGAACATTGATTGGTGTCCTGAGCTTTCTGTTGCTCAGTGTGTTTCAGTAAAAATACTAGGTTCACCATTTTCAAGTTTCAGAAGCAGGCTCTTAAATAACATGCAAGACTTGATTAAACACAAAGGTTATTCAAAATTAGAGAGCAATTCCTCTAGAAGAAATTTTCGGGGAACTGGAGAAAGACCAAAGCTCCCCAGTATTCAGGCATACAACCTAAGCTGCAGCTACAGGCACACTTCAAATCAGCACAAACTGGCTGCTGAGCAGTGTAGCACATTCCAGCCCTCCTTCATCCACTCTTTCTTACCTTGATTTAGCCTCATCCCAGTTGCTTGCTGGCACAAGCACTTGAAGTGACTGCACTGTGACTCAGACTGGGGAACTGATCCACACTAGTTCAAACATAGATCACTTCCCAGACTGAGTATACACTGGAGTACCTCAGGGAAAGGGATGGAGAGGAGTCCCCAGATAGCTCCTTTCAGCAGCTGTGCTGATTTTAAGCATATGTGAAATGTAGCCTTAGAATTTGTAGCAATTCTTTGCCAGAGTAAGTACTAAGGTAGAGCAAAGACACAAGCATAAATAAACAAACAAAAAGTGTCCAACACAAAGACAGATTTACTTATAAACACACATGTTGTATCCTTTTATTACTTATAATGTTTATTTGGAGGTGAAATACTGGGCAACACGTGTACAGTATTCTATATTCTTCCCTCTGTCAAGGCATTGTACCGTTTTAGGAAAATTTCAATGTAAAACAGGCAAAATATGACAAAAAACGATGGCGTACTTACACATTACGGCATGCAATAGGCTTGTAAAATCCAACTTCCTGACCAGTAAAGACTTTTTCTATGCCCAGGTAATCTCTGCAAGTAATATTTGGTGCTGGCAGGCACTGAACTGAGGACAAAAAAAAAAAATATTTGAGATTAAGCAGTTACTGACTGGGTATTGTGGAATTTTTCTGGCAAGACACAAAATTACACTGTACAACAGCTTTGATACAGAGCACACACAGGCATGTTATGTAAAAAAATTTTTTAAAGCAAGACCTATGACCAACTTGTCTTTTTGCACAACACAAAACAAAATAACAGAAACCGAATTGCTGCCAATTCGGTTGCCATTTCCATTTTTGCTGCATTAGGAGACAATGGGAGATCTAATAGAGAAAAAGGATCATGAGAACAGTCAAATATTGGAACAAGCTGCCCAGAGAGATGGTGTAATCACCATCCTTAGAGGTTTCCAAGATCTGGAGTGGACAGAGTCCTGAGCAGCCTTCTCTGAATTCATTGCCAATTCTGCTTTGAGCTGGAGGTGGGACTGTATGACTTCCTGAGGTCTCTTTCAACCCAAATTATTCCACTATTCTAAGCTGAGGCTTGATTTATAAAAGAGCCAAACTGGAAGGCATAGCAGAAAATGACATCTGCTAAAAGTCTGCAATGTATTAGAGGAATATTTGACGCTCTTCAGTGTTTTAGTGAGTTGTTTTAAAAGAAAAGAAATGCAGTCCTTTACACACTTTCTGTCATCTTTCAATACTTGCAAGTCCTGCTGATTAGTTGCAATGGAACTGCTAGCCAGGTTCAACATTTCTTTCTGGATTTTCCAATAAACAAGGATTTAGATTTTTTTTTTAATTATTTTTTATTATCTACTCATATTGCATCCCAAAAAAATTAAGTAGAGTTTGGATGCTTTGAATTAAACCCCTATTGGTTTGGATGATGAAATCCAGAAATGTTTATAGACTGCAGTAGTGTTCAAGGATGAGCTATATGACTAACTTTTTATTACACAGATAACACTGTAAGAGGAAGCGACTGAGATAATATAGGGACAACCAAGCCTGCTGTATCTGTAAAAATTCTATACAGATATAGAAAAGAACATGTTAATTAATTTTGCAACTTTCCCCTCTCTGAAGAAAACATATGGTGTCTTAAATGCAGTAATATGGTAATTGGTTAGACACAACTACCAATCTGATCAAACTGCAGAACGTTCAGCTCACTGACTGGCTGTTTATCATCAGGAACACATATGAAATAAACTAAGGGACCAATTTCAGCATGTTTCTGTTGTACGCCAAAGAACATCAAAATAAATGTAACTGCTTTCAAAACAGAGCCTCATGGCACCAAAAAATCTTGATGACGGAGGGCACCATCTTTCCTTGAAAGAAATTGTGAAGATTTTGAGCCTGTTCTGTCAGTTCTTCTAATAAGTGTGTGCAAAACAGAGTATGACAGGGATGGTTTGTTCTTATCACAGGAGTGGAGAATGGAGCCTGGAGGATATAACATACTTTGAAGAAATTTATTAGAAACCTCACTTACAAACGCCCCGATCAGAGTAATTCTTTCAGTAAAGCATCCAATGTATGCAAATGCGTAAGCTTTCATACTAATGACATTACTGATTCCATGTTTTAGAAGCTCAGCTAGCAGGTACACGAATGTATGAATTGGAAAATGCAATTACCATCAATATACGTTAGAAATCCTTACCATATGCCGTGTGATTTGTGCAATTCATTGGTTCCTGTGTGCTATTGTCTATTTTAGGCTCATCACACATATATGTTCAGGCAGTTGAGGAAAACATTTTTCATATCAAACACTCCAACAGGTTTAACGCTCATTTATTCCTCCCTCTCTCACCTTGGAGGATTTAAGACCTACCTTGATGCCAGCTTCCCTTCTTCCCCATCCCCCCAATAGAACAGCACATCGCCATGCTGCAAATCTGCTAATCCAATTTAATACACCACTATATTGCGTAAGCTGCGCGTTAATTAGCACCGCAGTCAGGACGACCTGAGGGAACCACAACATTTATTTGTCACAGCCTCTGCGCTGGGGCAGCACCCCGACCTCATTTCCTGCCTTATTTCAATACAGAGTAGCTTCAAACTGAGGCTCTGGGCTGAGCGTCCTGACAATAAAAATAAGAAGGTAGTGAGGACGGGGGTGCCTCATCCAATAGGATTTTTTCGTTGAAAAACAAAAAGCCCGACCATGCTCGCGGCCACACAGCACAACAGCCCCAGATAAAAGCGTGGCACAGCGCTCGGCTCCCTCCCACCCCTTCCTCAAGGGGTCCAGGGTTGCTCTGACCCCCTCCCGTCCGTCCCTCACCCCGGCCCATCGCCATAGCAACGCGCCCCGCCCGCGCTCAGGATATTGCCCCAGCCGCAGCTCCTCGCATTTGGGCGGCGGCTCCGGGCTCGCCGCTGCGTCCGCGGCTGCGAGCCACAGGAGAAGCAGGAACAGGGCCTCCAGCTCGCCTCCCCGCCGCCCCGGGCCGGCCGGCAGCCGGGCGGCCATGATGGAAGGAGCGGCGGCCGTCAGCTGACCCGCGGGGAGGAGCGGGTGCGCTGCGGGGTGAAGCATTGCCTTCGGGGGGGACGGAACGGGGGGAGCTGAGCTTATGTCTCGGGTTGCTGAAGATGCTGCTTTGATATTTCTTTATTTATGTTGTTTGTTCATTTTGAGGGGTTGAACTTAGCAAACATGGCTCCCGAGGCACTTCAGGTCAGCGCTGAGGACGGAGCGTGCCCGTACTAAAGATGGCGCTGGCACAGCCTCCTCAGCGAGCTCGTTCCCTGAGTAAAGATGGCGGCGCCCGCTTCAAGCTTCAAGCGCGTGGCGGCGCCCTTCTGCCCTCACTCAAGATGGCGGACCCACGGAGCGCCGTCTGAGGGGGAGGCTGAGGGCTAGAGCGGCGCGGGGGCGGTGTCTGGAGGAAAGGATGGAGCAGGGAGGTGAGCACCGCCCTCCTCTCCTGAATACCAAAGTAGTGACTACAAACAGCCGGGCATCCCCGTCTCCTGCAGCGCTGGGGCTCGTGAGTATCCCGTGCGTTGTCCTCAGTGCTCTGGGCTCCTCTGGAAGAATTTGAGGAATAATTCTCAGCGCTGATGAGATACAGCAGGTGTCCTGTGCCTGCTGTGTGCTGCCGGGGCAGTCCCTGCAGGAAATAGTTTGAGATTGTTGTGTTTTCACATAAAAATGGTTCTATGCTTCTAGAAGTTTGGGGTTTTTTTTTTTTGTTTTGTTTTGTTTTTGTTTTTTTGAGGACCTGGAGCAGGCAAGCTTTGTCTTCAGCGTGTGCTTTTTGTAAGGTGTTTTGTGGTGATTCCTAACCTTTCCCTTTTCTCACTTTTTTTTTTTACAAGGTCAGTTCCTATTTTTCTAGCATTTTTGACAATTCCAGTTTTCAGCTGTGAGCTGCAGGGGACTCCAGGCTGTTGGCATGGGGTGAAGGAACACTGAATGGCAGATGCGCCCAGGGCAAGCAGCGCTGCTGCCAATAGGCTTCCTTCTGCTCCAGAAGCATTTCCTGAAAAACACATGGGGACCCAGAGACTGAAAACAATCACAGACTCATTAAGGTTGGAAAAGACCTCTAAGATCTCCAGCCTACCCCACTCACTAACCATGTCCCTCAGTGCCACCTCCACACATATCAGGAACATCTCCAGGGACTGTGACCCCGCCGCTCCCTGAGCAGCCCATGCCAGCCCATTGCCACTCCCTTCTGAGAGTTTTCTGAAGCCCTTCTGAAAGTCTTATGTTTTCACGGATGGTTATTTTCTTGAATGAATGGTGACTTAGGAATGGATTTATGGATATGATCTGTTGCAGTTCCAGGCATTCAAGGAATCGGTGAAAGTGTGGACTCTTAAAAATACATGCATGTCTGACAAAGATCTCAGTGATGTGAAACAGTGCTAACAGCTTCTGGGAGATTGGTGTGTACTGAATTTACAGTGCAGAGTTCAGCAGATAAACTATGCAAATGAAAATTGATATTCCCTTCAGCAATTGGGAAAGAAAGGCCATGGACAGAGTGCACTCTGCAATGAACTCAGCCCTCCGGATCGAGACTAGGGTGATCCGATGGGAAAAGTGCTGTGCTTCTGTGTCTGCATTGTAACTCGAGGATGGATAAATACCCGGCTCGCTGCTCATCACTGTCAGGAATGTTGTCACTTCTCACAAGCACTGTGTTAATTAAAGTTGAGAGTGAGAGCTGGGAAGATAGGCATCGAGAAGCTGAGGTTTTTTTTGTTCTTAAAGGGAGGATGGAATGGTGTGTTCTTAACATGTTGTATGCTTTAGTGCAACTGCTATTGAATAGAAAACAAATTGGGGGGGAGGGAAGGGGAAGAACATTAGGAAGTGTGTTGCTAGTTTGATGTTGAAATTCACTACAAAAGGTTTGAAAGTGCTTACCAAGTGCAACTGGCAGGGCTGTGAGAGAGCTGCATATGAGCTGGGTAGCAGAATAGAAAGGTTTTGGTTTGTTTTTTGTGAGCTCTCATTTGATGTTTTCTCCGTATGTGTGTGTGTGAGCAGACATAGCCATGATCCAGAGGCACTCCATATGAAAAGCATTACAGCTGCTTAGCTCCGTCCTGTCCCCACACTTCCCAAGGCTTTTCCCATCTCTGTCAGCGATAGGGTCGGCGCTGCAGAGCACGAGCACAGCTCGTGTCATCCCTGCAGGATTTAGGGGCTCGGACCGCCTGAGCCCAAGTTTAGGCGTTGCTTTACTGCGCATAAGCACACGTATCGCTTCTCCACAGCTTCTTCGTTTTGTTCTCGGCTGACCTCCCGGCCGGCACTACTAAAGGCGGCTGAGGGCAGCGGGCCGCTCACGCCCGTCCCATGGCCGCAGCCCGGCCGTCCCCCGGGAGGCGGCTCTCTTTCTCTCTCTTTCTCTCTCTCCCGCCGCGCCGCCCCGGCTTCCTGCGCCGCAGGTGAGGCGCGTTGGCTTCCCGCTTCCGCCCAGGTGAGAGCCGGCGGCCATCGCTCCACTCCGACCGCCTCCTCTTTCTCTTTCTTCTCCTCCCGGCCGCAGGTACCGAGCGGCCGCCGGCCCCGCGCCCACCGCCGCGGTGCGGCCCTTCCCTTGGCAGCGTCCCGAGGGACGGCGGGCGGCCCGTTCCTGCCGGCTGCCCTGCCGAGGCTCGCGGTGCTGCGGGCGGAGGGGTGAGCCCGGCCCGGGGCGGCTCCCGCCGCTGTGAGCACCATGGGACGCCCCGCTGCGCCCGGTGCGGGTGTGGTGTGTGTGTGTGTGTGGGTGGGGGGGGGGGGGGGGGGGGGGGGGGGGAGGGGGGGCAAAGCCTTTGGGGGCTCCGGCTCCGTCACTCAGCGGGCTGTGGACAGCTTCCACCGCTTGGGGAAACGGTACCCTTAAGTTGCAGCGCAGCAGGTTCCGGTTGGATGTTAGGAGACTTTTATTCTCCCGAGAAGAGTTGGCCAAGCATTGGGACGGGCTGCCCAGGATTACCGTCCCTGGGGTGTTCCGTAGCCGCAGGGATGTGGCACTGAGGGATGTGGGCTGGGGGGCTGGGCTGGGATTGGGGACCTTAGAGGTGTTTTCCAGCCTTGGTACATTTGTGACGCCTTTCGTCAGCGCCTTTCAATTCCGAGGTTCTTAACAAAATGATGTTTTTAATTACTACTTATTTAGGGATTGATTAATGGGAAAGCTGTTCATTGCGTTCTTGTCAAATTTTCAAGATTTAGAAATGGAGCATGGCTCCAGGTTTAACAGTTCTCCTCCACAGCAGAGTGGTTTATCAGCTGAGAGTGCTGTCATCACCAGAACTGGAGGACTCAGTGTCCTGTTCCACTCAAATTAGCTGCTGTTTAGATCCCAGAAGCAAATTTTCCACGAGTTTTGCTAGAACAAGTTTCATAGCATGTTCACTGTTGCACTGAGTGGCCTCAGTGTGAGCTCAGCTTTCAGTCAGACATCAGAGGCTCTGTGGCAGTGCTCCCCTCCGGCCCGGAGCCCGCAGGAATTCAGGTTCTGCCTGTGGGAAGCTGGCATGCCTTGGACATGAGTAAGGCTGCTCTCCAGGCTGCTAATCACAGGTACACCAGATTCTTTTGCTTTCCTCGTCCAGCAGTCACTGAGGGTTTCTGACGCAGAGACAGTTTCCCCACAAAGGTGATTTATGGATATTTGACGGTATTTAGCTTTGGCCTGTTTTTCTCTGAAGACCTTTGGTGTGTTTTCATTGATGTATTTGCAGCACCATTCACTTGTTTGTTTCTTCCAAGAGCCTGGAGCAGCCCACATACTCTGTAGTGATTTTATTAAGACTGTAGTGTGACACAGCACAGCAGTTAGTGGTGGTTTCATCTGAGAGGTGTGGGCATGTTAAGTTTAGTTGGATTGAATTTGTCTGTGTGTTCTAAGGTGGAAAACCAAGCAGAACAGCAAAATGTGCTACAGTGTTGTTGTTTTTTTAATCAGTACACAGCTGCTTGTAAGCTATATTATTTTTAATACCACAGGTTACAGTTGATGCTGCATTAGGACCATTTTAAGATTAAATTCACACTGAGAAATGCTGTTTTCTCTTACTTTTGCCGTTGCTTAGGTTGAAATTTTTCGAGTTAGAGATGTTCCCAGGACCGATGAAGATGAGCCGTGCACAAATCAGTCATTCCTTGTAACGGGGCTAGGAAAAATTACAGCTGCACCAGTGCAGAAAGGTGACTTTGGATCAGGATGTATCCTTGGCTGTTCCCTGCTCAGATGGCCCTGTAAGGAGCCTTTGAAAAATAGCAGCAGTTAGCACTTGTGTGGTGAGGACTTGAGGTGTTTAATGGCCCAGAAGGTTACAGTGACACTGAGACAGGATTTCCCCTATGAGCGCAGCTCTTGGAAGGATGCAGGTTGTTGGGGATGAAGCCATTGTAGTTGTTAGGTGAGAGGGGGCAAATGGGCAGAAGCATCTCCGTTGGCTATACCATGCCCTCCTTCAGCTCCCGGCAGAAAGCCCCTTGGTTTCGTCTCCCAGCAGCCTTCACAGGGCAAGTGCTTGTCAAGGCCACTGCCAGAGGTGCCGTGTTGCTCTGAGCCTGGGATGTGCCGGGCTGAGTGCCCCGTGGCAGCTCTGGGGGGTGATGGCAGGGGAAGACTTAAACCTTTCAGCTCTTCTGATGACCTCTGCTGGCACCAGCATGGGGGAATTCCTTTTTTCTTAGTTTGCTTTTGAAGGAGATCCAAGTCTTAGGATTTCATACAAAACCTTATGAAACTTTCCCGCTCCCTATGATGCGTTGAGTTCAGCTCTCAAAAGTGAAGACAGTAAAAACCCCGATGCATGCTGTGCTGAAGAGTGAGGGTTTTTTTCTGGTGTTACAAAACACTAAGCTTTCTGAAATTCATGATTTTCACAATGATTTTACGATTACACTGGGAGTTGTGACATGAATTTTGAACTTTGAGGTTTGCAGCTTTGTCTACCAATAAGATAAATAAGTGGCTGTAGAAATCTGAGAATGGAGTTGAGGAAGTTGAATGCAGAGTGGACAAACTGTTTTTAATAGGACAAACCATGGCATTTTGGTTTACTTCAAAATTATCACATAGGAATGGACCTCTTAATTTGTCAATAATCTGTTGGCACCCTGCTCAGCATGGGTATTTGGAAATTGGTTAATGATTATCTATCTGGGTCCTCAAACATAAACAGGGCTACAGTGGGTGGAGCTGTGTGCTTCTCTGGAGCCCAAACTTCGGTCTTAGGGACTTGTTCTCAATTACTTGAAAACTTGGAATTAGTTTGTATTCTCAGGGATCCCCTCACAGCAGAAGGAGCTGTCTACCTTAAAAATAAAGCACACTTTCCCCCTTCCCCCCCCCCCCCCCCCCCCCCTCCCCACTCTTTTTATGAAAGAAAGGAGAACAAAGAAACACTGAGAGTGGTTTTAACATATTGCAAGCTGTCTGGAGGCCAACTTTAATCACGAGGGATCCCAAAGTGCTGTGTAAACTTGAACTTTCCTGCTAACTGTACCTGAGGTCCACTTCAGCATCTGCTGTTCTGCAGTGGCTCTCAGCAGTGCTTTGGGGCAGCTCAAGCAGGAAGCTGATGCTTTCTTCAATGTATTTCTTTTTAATTTTATTTTACATTTTCCTTTTTTCACCTCCTTCTCCGGGGGGACTTCTGCACGTTAGATGGAGCCTAGATATCCTACGTACATTTTTCTGCTCTAGTTTTTCTTTCTTGGATCTGCACCCGTTGTCATAATTGCTATTGTTACACCCGCCGTAATGGAAAAAAGATTAATCTTGGAGACTGTCAGCGCGGCTCTTTGAGGCTGCCTTTGAATGACGCAGGCTATTTCTCATGGTACAGTTTGCCAGCGCAGCTGAGCTGCTGCAACTGCTAGCTGCTGCTGCAAGGTGCGGTCCTGTTCCCAGCCCCATCCCATGTGCTGTTGTTTGAGCACTAGGTGGGCAGGAGGCTCGGGCCCATCAAAATGTGGGGTGCTTGTTGGGTGTTTAACTCCCTGCTCCAGTTCACTGTGGGGTCGGATGAATGAGTGCAAGCCCAGGTGGGATGGGAAGGAGAACAAAATGCACGAAAGAAACTTTGGCTTCTTGGTTCCAGCTATCGGATGGGTACAATGTTGTCCAGTTGTCATTATTTCCTGCCATGCTGCATTTCTTTTCTGGGTTTAATCTTCACCCTGCTGCTGCTATAAAGGTGTTTCAAGTCGCTTTTCCTCATAGGAGTTCTTCTGTATCTCGCTGTTGTTGGTTTGCTTTATTTTTGACGTGAGGTGGGAAAACGGGGAAGTTATGTTGAGAATAAAGGGGAAAAAGTTATGTTGAGAATAAAGGGGGAAAAGTTATGTTGAGAATAAAGGGAAAAAAGTTATGTTGAGAATAAAGGGGAAAAGAAAACCCTTCATATTCCTGTTTCATTAAGATTTACACAGTATTTTTAGCTAAGGGGAAGTTTTGTCTTTTCACTTTAGGTGAAGACTCAGGGATATATAAGGAAAAGGTATTTTCATCTGTACTTCAGAATCAGATCTCAGTGCGGAATCAAAGGCTGCTGCTGTGTTGTTAGAAGTGTTTTATTTCAAATAGAAAAGGAAATAAAGCTGCAAAACTTACATAAGTTCAAATGCATTCCTGAAAGTCTTTTAGGAGTTGTGTGCCTCCTCAACCCCTCCTATGAATTTGATTTAAAGTGACCTCTTAAATCTGTTAATAGCCTTGCAAAGGGAATCATTTTGTTTGGCCCTGGGTGGAAACCATGCGAATCTGCTGAGTTCTGCAGGGATTCCTGTAGAAGCCAAAATTGCTTAGATACAGCAAAGTGTACCTAAATTTGAAACTGTGGTCAGTGACATACCACCTATATTATTTTTTTTTTCTTTCTTTTTCATCTGCTTAATTAATATTCTCTTCTCTATTGCAGTGTCCTCCTGGAACTCCAGACGTTTTCAGCTGGGACGTGGATAGCATCAGAGGAAGAGCTGAAAGGCTCAGAGGCTCTGCTGGGTGAGCAATGCACATATGACCATACTTGCTCTTGGACAGCAAGATTAACAAAGTAAATGTAGAGCTTTTTTTTCAGTAGAGATTTTTTTTTTTCCCCAAGTAATTCCAGATGTATATTATTCTGAAGTTACATTGTTACATACAGGACATAGTTTAAATTATGTAAACTGAGCTATTAAATGGTTGAGTTCTTTCAGAAGAGCTTGTACTAAGTGAAGAAATCTTGTTTCTTGTGTTTTTGATATAACTACCTTGACAGGTTTCAAAATGACAGGCTCCACATCAACATAATAACTTGCAAGTGAAAGTACAAATTTATCATCAGTGCTAATTGCAAGTCAGTTATTCTGCCATCTAGGCCTCAGCTGCAGACCTGTTCTCTTTTGCATTGCAGGGAGGGTGGGAAAGGATACTGTGTTCCTTCAAAGATTGTCTCAGACATAGGAAAGAGAAAGGCAAGCACGTGGACGAGGACAGAGTTTTCTCTCACCTGTTTGGCACCGAAGCTGTGATTAAAAAGATGTTGGGCTAGGAATTGAGTTAGCCAATTTGGGGCCTTAATGCTACACTGTCCTGTGAGTGGAGGGAACCTCATCATTTTATGGGAACTTCTTGAGGAGTTGTTAAAACAAGGTTTCACCTGTATTGGCATGTGGCAGGGCCAAGCTTTTGTGAGAACACTGCAAATAATTAAAGCAAGTGGAAGTGCCTATTATATATATAGGTTATATATATATAGGTATATAGGTATATATACTATATATAGGTATATATACGAAGATTTAGACTGTGTGTATATTTGAAAAGATGACAGTTCTAATGCTCTCACTCCAAATGATTTGGTTGAACATACCTGCTTCAATTTCTTTGACCAGTTTGTTGTTGTCTTTGTTTTATAACATGTATTATTCTTCATCTTTGAAAGAGTTGTTCATCTTCCTTTCCCAGTGTAAAAGAAGCAGCACACAGAACAAGGAGAAATTTTTTGAGTGTGCTGGGCTGCTCTGCAACTGGCTGAACTGGAAAGCTAACAGCAGTGTTTTTTAATTAATTTGGTTATAGTTGATATTTTATTGCTGCTTTTATTGACGTTCTACCTTAAAGTGTTCTACTCAAAGGTATCGTTTGTTTGTTGTTGTTGTTTTTATCTCATCTAGATTATTCTGAGTAATTCCAAAAATACCCTCCAACATGCCTGAAAACCCTGCTGCAGGTACGTAGTCTGAAAGTGAATAGTGCCAAGCGGTGGGAAACGAAGCTCCGTGCCTAACATAACTACTTTGTGGTGCAGATAAACAGCAGGTGCTGCAGATCATTGACCGTCTGCAAGCAAAACTGCGTGAGAAAAGAGATGTCCAACATAATGAGAACCTGTCTGTTCTGCGCAGCACGCTCAGGAGCCCTTTGTTTAACCAGATATTGACCCTCCAGCAATCCATCAAGCAACTGAAAGATCAAGTGAGTGTAGAATTACAGTTGTTGGTGTGATTCTAACTGTACTGAAGTTGGAACAGAACAGTCTGTGTAGGCGTGTATTGATGAGGACAGTCATTAATAAGCTGTGACTTGGTGCTGGCCTTTTTCTTGTCAAGCTGGTATTTACCAAGTCACTACTGAAGTGAGAAGTGATCTTACAACACTCTAGTCGTGGGGCAACATGCTTTGATAGGGATGTAGAAGAGTGAGATTCTGAGAAAAGCATCTGCGAAAGACATCAGCTCTAATATGAGTTCAACTGTGATCAGAAACTGAGATTCTTTGTTTTTCTCAGAAACTAAGTACTGTTTATCAGCTGACTTGCAGCACCTTCTCTCCTATCTATTTTTAATAGATATAGATTATTAGTCTGTAATTAACTGTCAGTTAATTGCTGCTGACTTGTACAGGAATGGTTATGATGCTTTGGAAAATAAAACGTAGAAAATCACCCTGAAGATGTGCCAAGCTCTGATGCTGACATATCCAAGCTAGCTTTAAAGTCAGTTAGGTGTGGCAGTAGAAGTGACTTGCATGGATTGGTTTACAATGCCAGTAGGTGCTTAGATCTTGTGGGCAAGGATGTTGATGACACCTCCACCATGCAGTTTGCCAAGTCAGGCATGGAAGCTTAACACTCAGGGACTAACTTGGCACACTCTATGCAACAGTAATCCCTGTCTTTGCAGTTACTGAACCTGTCCAGCTGTAGATACGGTGGGGTAGGTCCCAGGAGAATGGAGCCACCGTGCTGTCATTGCTAAATACATTGCCAGTACTGCTGCCTGGATGGCATATAGTGGCTCTGCCATTCATACTTGTCTTCTTCCCTTGTTTGCATTGTTGGAGCATCTGTTCCCATCTTCCAAATCTTGAGTGCACGTCTGCAAGCTGTTAAAAGTGAGCAAAAATCCAAATCTAGGATCGTGCATCCTAACTGTGGAGTAATGGATTTTTTTATCCAGAATGCTCAGGCTTAGTATGTCTAAAAAATTAGGTTTTCTCATAGTTTTTTCTTAAGCTTGTCCCCTTTGAAAACTTCCGTTCAGGAGGGGAATTTTTTGGTTTACTTTGTTGCACTGGGAGTGATTCAGCTTTTCTACCAGACTGAAAATTGAACTGCCAGTTGTAGCAGTGGTAGCGTGTTCAGTAGTTAGCTTGTGCCCTAGGCTCTCTCTGTACAGACCAGGCATTTGAGTGGTTAAGTGACTCTTAAAATTTGTGATCCTTGTGTGAAAACTGTCTGAATTTGCCTGCCACTTCCACCAGTGTTGGAGTGCCTCTTTAAATATCAGGGAGAAATGAGGAGGATGGGCAAAAGTAGTGAAGAAGAATGGTAGAACTGACAAAAACGTGTAGAGTAGAAACAGAAACAGCTGAATCATTTAGGGAACATTCCTTTCTGTAAAACAGTTTGAAGTTGGTATGCTAGCTTGATTATAGTTTACACCTTAACATTACCTAAATTATACAGGTGAGTACCTTTGTAAGAATATGGATATATAAATGTGTGTGTCTTTGTCAGCCTTCACTCAAAATTATGTACGTTGAAATCTGTGTTCGTTTTTGAAAGTTTTACTCCATCTCTGTTCATTTTTAACAGCTCAATTACATGCCACCTGACCGGTCAGTGGATTTTGATTTTACTAAGAGAGGACTGCTGGTATTTGCTGACAAATCAGTTACTGCTGGAAATGTGTGTAAACAGAGCAGTTTACCGGAACCCAGAGCATCTACCTTCATTCCAAACCTGGGGGTTAATGAGTTCAATACAATCATCCAACAGATGGCAAAGGTAAGGCTCTTAGGTTCAGTCAACCAGGCTTTAATGTCAAATCATGCAAAATCTTGCATGATTTGGAGTACTGTTTTGTTCTATATCCTGGAGTGTGATGCAACCTAAGCCTACAGAGGTACCAAGGGCTCTTTTTTCTTGTCCCCTGTGAAAGACAATGTCAACAATGGAAAGTATTTTCTTTGCCATTTTTTGATTTTCTACCCAGCACACCGATGTAGAAATGAAGTCTCAGTTGCCAGAACACTTTTTTTTTTGGTATTGGATGACACTTAATTGAAAATGGATGTTTTCTGCAGAAACTTGTTTTGATGGAAAGATTTTTTATCAAGTACATTTTGAATTGGAAATGTACCAGCTTTGTTGATATATGAACAGTGCAAATGATTAAAAGAGCTGGCATGTAATATTTTATTTAACTCTTCATTTAATATGTCTCAACTTTGCCAGACAGATGCTGATTTCATTAACATGATGTAGCATGTACCAGATGCTTATGGAAGTCGTACAGGTGCAGACATCTACCCATGTGCAATTGGCATTTATACCATGAGTGCATTGTTCTGTGTTACTTTGAGCCATTAATTTAATTGGTTAGTCGTGCCTTTCTATATTAAGTAACTGTTGCTAATTGACTACCTTAATGTAGCTGTAATATTTTCAGCATAACTCTTCTTGTTAGCATGTCATTAACTCATCTGATAAAAGATTTAACAGTAAAGGCTGCACATTATTTTGGATAAAACAGCTGTGATAGAAATGCTTTCTCTAAGTAACGCTTCCCAGTAAACAGCCCCAGAAATTATGTGTTTGAACTGAGAAGCAGGCAGTTGCAAAAGCAGAGTTTTGTTGTTGTTTTGATTTTTTTTGTCTAGTTTGCATTACCTGTGAAGTTGCAGGAATGAGAAGGAAATTAATTTCTTTATTTAAAAGCTGCAATCTTTTGAGCGTGTACCTAAAAATCAGCATTAAAAGCTAAGGGAGCCAAAAGACAAGTAATTTAGTTTAACTGTGCAGCATTTCCAGAAACCCCAAATATATTGCTATAAACAGCACTTTGTTCATAGTTTTCATCCAGTTTGGAATTCATCTCATAATGTGAATGAAGTGTGAAAGCAGCTCTTAAATTCCCTGAGGTTTCAGAATCTCAGAGTGCTCACATATCCAATACTCTGCTATATTAAAAATAATAAATGGAGGAGCTTTTATACGAATAACATATTTAGTATTTTGCCTTTGTTTAGTCTTAGGAGGGGAATAATTCTCCTGGTGCATGAATTTTGAACTAGCTCATTCTATTGCATTAAAAATTAGTTAATCAGTTTTTTTCTGTTTTACTAGGGGAGACAAATAGAATCAATAAAGATTGAAAAGCCTTCTGTCGGAGGTCTCGGATTTAGTGTTGTTACCCTTAAAAATCACAACTCAGGAGAAGTTGGTATCTTTGTCAAAGAAGTTCAGCCAGGAAGCGTGGCTGGCAGGTGAGATCTTTATAATTGGAAAAATTGCAGCAATTCTGTAAAAAGAGAAGGCCTGATTTTTGCATTGGTGGCTGTCAATGCTAACGTGTTTGTTTGGGTTATCTGGTGGGATACTTTGGTGGTGGTATCTCGAGTTCTGGCTTTGCAGCTAAACAGACTCATGTTTTGAGGATCAGATTTTCAGATGAGTTTCAAATATCCATGCTGTTCACAAATGGAATTTCCAGAAAACATGACTCACTTAAGAGAATCTTGAGTGCTGATTGAAAAACAAAGGCAGCCTGGAAAAGAGTACGAGGAAAATAAAAACTAGTCTCTGGATTTTTATTCATTGTATTACTGAAAGATTTTTTTCCCCCTTGCTTCTTTATTTATGTGCCTATGACAGTGCTCTATTTATAGTTGGGCTTACTGCACGTTTCCTGTGTAAATTAAGATCCAATCCTTCCAGCAGATCCCTGCACAGATGTCATCATAGAACCGAGGCTTCGGGCAGTTTTTTCTGTATTATCTGTGAGTTCTCACCCAAAAACAAAAGACAGAGCAATCCTGGAAAAACAAAATGATTGTAAAACCACAAGAGTTGGCATGAGACAAATGCAGTGCTTGGAATTATGTTTAAAGAAAATGTGTCTAGATTACAAGTCACTGGTGTCACTTTTTAAATAACACATGTCAGGAAGTGCCAACGCAGGATGACAAAGAGAGTGGGGAGAGGTTGGAATGATAATGGCTATGGGCCCACAGAGAACACACCAGAGAACACTTGCAAGAAAAGCATATTAGGCTCTTTCAAAGTGGAGACAGATGGACTGATCTGGATGTCAAAGGAGGGTGAATATCTCACTTTAGGATTTGATGACCTGCTGCTCACTTTCTTTGATGAGAGTCTGAAATATGGCGAATGCCTGAAGAAAGGCGTTTCAGGAAAACATCTTAAATGTGGCACGACAATAATGAACTTGAAGTGCATTAGTTAAGATGTACAGCTATATTGTTTTGGAGGTTTCAGAAATCTCTCCAGCATGTTTCACGTTTTGGTTCTGAGATGAGATCTCCTGGAGCCTTTTTTGGATTCCTACAGAGCTTTGAAGGCAGTGTCTGTCTATGTAACAGTTTGGTCTCGTGCTCAGAATGAATATTTAACAAAGCAGAGAAGTGATGGTTTCTGTCTTGTCACAAATCGAAATTCATCACTCAGATAAATTAACTGTGAGATTTATATTATCTTAAGGTATGATGTAACTTGAACTGTCTGCTGCCTGAAGAAAGTTTGATGTCTGAGTTTTGATAATATAATTTTTGAGTAAAATATAAATATGCAGCTTGACCATCTTTAGGATCAGACGATGGTATGAAATAATATTGTAGCCTGAGCTGTGGACACTTAGATATAATGTCGTGTGATGCTAAAAGTAATGAAGAATAGTTCCTAGTTTGCTGTATAACTGCAACTTTTTTTTTTGTCCTATAGTTTAACATCATCAAGAAAGTGAGGAGATTTAATTGAATTTTAATAGTCGAAGGAAAAAATTGTCTAAACTTGCATACTGTGATAAAGTTAGGACAAACTTTGGCTGGGCAGTTCAGCACGATGTGTATTCATGTCATTTGTAAGTTGAAATCACTCTAATGAGTAGATTTTTTTAATGTAAACTTTGCATGGGAAGTCACTGTGCTGCATTTTGAGATTTCTTTTAATGTTTTTGTTAAGGGATCAAAGACTAAAGGAAAATGACCACATACTGGCCATTAATTGCACCCCATTGGATCAGAACATTTCTCATCAGCACGCTATTGCTCTCCTCCAGCAATCCACGGGATCTTTGCATCTGGTTGTTGCTAGGGAGCCAGTTCAAGGAAACAGCAGAACTTCGCCTGTCTCACTGAGTGATACAAATCCACCTGGGACTGTAAGTTGCTGTAATACAGTCAAAATCAGATTTTGAACTATGCTGGATGCCTTTTTTTTTTTTTTTTTTTTTTTGTAGTTTTAAGTGTTTTACATACAGGGTTTGGGGATTTTTTTTTTAATCATGTTTTGTCTGTAGGGACATTTGGTTTAGAGATCATGCAGTAAGTATAACACTTCCATTGCAAAGCTGCATGAAGTTGTTACAAAATAGGTCCTGGGTTTTTATGTGCTAGAAGTTTTAGTAAATCAACATATTCCTAGCAGCAGGGGCTGTTCAGCATAGTCTGGATAAAGTGTTTTATAAGTGTACCCAGCTGAAAAATGCTTGCACTCAGCAATTATGCTCTGATTACATCTTAAAAGACTGTAAACATAACCTATCGTGAGCGTATCGAGTGCTTGAAATACCAGAACCAGTGTAAACTTAAATTGCTCAAAACCAAATGCCTTGCCTTTGTGGGTTTCTGAAAAATCTGCTGAAGAACCTATCCATTCACTTTTTTTATCTTCTTCTTTAATCTACAGATTTCATTCATTGTGAACCCTTTTGTTGTCTTTAACAAGGAGTGATTGTCACTCAGATCTAATAAGCTAAGGCTGAGCTTGCATCTGTGTTCAAGCCATATGGTCCAGGTGGCTTCATTGAATTTGGTTGAAGTGCACACCTAAATCCAGGGTTTGCAATATTGGAATCTTAATTTATTATGCTAGCAGGTTTTGATGAAAATCTGGTTAAGAGCAGTGTTTTTCCTTATTCTCAGTAATTATTTCCCTTGTGATTATTACAGAGGTAGTGAAATCTGAAGGTTTTAGTGCGTAATCAATATTGTTTATTGCACTGAAAATTTTAAAGAATTAAACTTCAACTGCTTTTTCATTGAAAGATCTGCACTGAACAGACTAACAAAATAAAATACAAATATATATCTCTACAGGGGGTCTTTAAACTCCTTTTATGATATTTAACTGGCTTTGGCAAAGACTTTCAGTATGCTAATAAATCCTTTATTCACAGAAGACTTAAATCTGCCTACTTTGCTCCATTTTGGTTTCTATGAGATATTAATCTGACAGAAACACTGCCTGCGTTTGGGTTACTTAACAGCTTTGTTATTTTCAGATTGTCTTGTAGAACATAAGGTCATCGTACAGCGTAGCTTAGAAACATGCTTCCAATTCAGCATGGAAGAATTGATACTGCACTAATAATTCAGCATGTACTGTGTTGTTTGGAGTGTGTGAGTGACATAACAGATAGAAGAATTTGGGCAACGCTAAGTGAAAACTAGGCCAGTAAAAGCTTCTGGACTGTTTTTCTGCTTGCAGTATTCTTGATTTCTGAAACACTGGAAGGATAGTTTTCATTTTGGCTGAAAATCTTAGAATTACTTCTTCTTAGTCAAGCTTTTTCCTAGTATCCTGTTATGAAAGTAAAGGACAAAGTGTATGCTTAATAAGAGATGAGAAAATCCCACTGCATATTTATAAGGAAATGAATCCAATGGAAGAAAAATCCAAGAGATCTCCAGTAAGTGGCAAAGAGAGAAGAGGTGCTTTGATTTTTTTTCTTGTTGCTGGTACAGGTGAAACTGAGAGACGTTAAAGATGGACTGAAATTAAAGTCTTCTCTTCTTATTAATTGCAGATTCGTTGGGGCCACGTTGAAAACGTTGAGCTGATTAACGATGGCTCGGGATTAGGCTTTGGAATTGTAGGAGGAAAGCTGAGTGGTGTAGTTGTAAGAACCATTGTTCCTGGAGGATTAGCAGATCGGGTAATTTGTTATATTATGTCACTTCTTATTTGATTGCAAAGTATAATTAACTGCTTTTGACAGCCTTAAAATAAACTAGTATGCTTAAACAAAAGGAAGCTGATAGCATCAAAGTCTGAATGCCAACATATACTTTGTAAATAAATATGTTGAAGATATGATTGAGGAAAAAGTCCGCACCTGATACAAATTAAGTTGTTTCTCAGATGTGCTTTGGCTTATACAACATTGTTGAACATGCAGAAATGCTAAGAAGTTGTCTAACCTTCTGATAGTTTCAGCACTTCTGATACTTTCTGCAAGACTTTCTGAAGTTTCTGATATCTTTTAAAGTTGTGTAAGTTTGATTTGCAACTTTTGATTGCCAGTCTTGAAACATCCAGCACTGAGTGTTGCTACATTTCTGGGGTAGAACACATGCAAGATCTGGATTTCTAATGTGAATTTGGTCATGAAAAGTTGTTGCATTGAGAACTGGAGCCCATGTAGTCCATACAGTCAAGACCCAGTAGCATATAAAAGAATGTATGTTCTATTAAATTACTTCCTCTAGTATAGGATGGAAACAAAAACTGGAGGTTCGGGAAGCTTTAATGGAAAATGCTGGCTCTTATTTTACTTACTTTCCTAAACCTGACATGTATATATGAGTATTTTTTAATTATTGTGTAGCACCTGTTTTGCTGTAAGGAATAAAGTGTCTTGGCTACAAATGAAGCATGTAAGTTAAGAACTCACCACATCATTCTCAGCTGAATGAGACATCATTAAGAACATGTGAAATAATGAGTGCATATATATATGTTAAAATTGGATGGATTTGTAAATGAGTTTGAGTTAGTCCTGGAAATAACTCCACTATGATTGCTATATAAATCAGTGCACCTAAGATGGTAGGGCTGTGCTGATCAATACCAGCTGAGCATTTGGTGCTATGAATGCTTGCTTATACTAGGAGTGATGATGTGGGCCATGAATTATAATCATCACATGAAAGATGGTTTGTGTGTGTGCAAAGCCCTGTTACCTTCAGTGGAGTTACTCGCTTGAGTTGGAGCCGGTCGTGTGAAAAAAGAATTGCCAAGTTAGTACAGAAGCATTATTAGCAACTTTAAATTCTAACCCCTGTTCTGTGCAGTTTATTCCAGGAAACTGCAGTATGTAACAGCCTATAAGATTATATATTTTGGGGTTGGAACTGTATGTCTTTGAGATCCCTTCCAACCCGAGCCATTTTATGATTCTAAAATGTTGTTGCCCTTCTTTTCCTAAATAAGAAAAGCAGCCATTTCCTTAGGAACAGTGGTATTCAACCTGTGCATATCTTAGTTTTGAAAAGCCTGATTTGCCATGGTTTACTGCTGTGGGAAAAACAGCACTTCATATTTTGAAAACATCCTTGAATTACTTTATATGTTACGATGATGGTCAGCCTGATTGTGTTCTGTCGTATTGGCTATCATGAAAATTTCCATAGGCAGTTTCAGCTTTTACATCCTGAAAAAAATTTTTTGCAATGTTATTTATGTTTGAAGGATGGGAGGCTGCGAACTGGAGATCACATCTTACAGATTGGAGGGACCAACGTGCAGGGAATGAGCAGCGAGCAAGTCGCCCAAGTGCTGAGAAACTGTGGGAATTCTGTTAGGATGGTTGTTGCGAGAGACCCGAAGTGTGAGATTACAGAGAGTCCACCAGCTCCTGCGAGCTGGCCAGTCAGTGCACTGCCTTCATTTCAGAATGGAAATGTAAGTATCTGATGTCTGCTGATGGGTTTTGTTTTTTTTTTTTTTTAAGTATGTTTGTGGCTTGGGACCAGAAAGGAGGGGAACAGAGAGCATTTTTGACACCTGAAATGCTTCTCCTCATTTTCCAGTTCTTATATTTATATACTTAAGTGATCATTACTTTAGCTCCATCTTCTGTGATTTCCTCCTTGTTTTTAATGTTATTAATGCCCCTAATCTTGGGATCAAAATGACCGCCTGTGTGGAATTTATTTCAAAGCATTCACTTAATTATCAGGGCCATGAATGTTATCAATAAATGGTGCTTCTAGTTCTCCTGTTTCATGAATTACATTTTTTTGCTAATCAATCATTTGTAAGAGGATTTAAAACCTTGGTGTGAATTTCCCTAGTCTGAAAGCCAGAGTGCCATGGCCAGACCAGAATTATTCAGCACTAACATCTTTTTATGAAGCATAAGTGTGATGTTTTCATAGTCTACACTACTGTCTGTGATAGGAAATATATCTAAAAATTTTGAAACTTGTTTTAGCAAATCTTAACATGGTCATATCAAAGTCTCTTGTTTTTGAAGTCATTCTTTTCAGTTTTGAGTAATTAAAATCAACAAATGCTACACTAAGTGTACAGTAGGTCTTGAAACATAAACAAAGCTGTGCTTGTGCACCATCTGCTACTCCTGTGCTGCTTAGATTTAGGTGTAGAATCTCAGTAGCCTTTTCTCCCTTAACTAGTTTTCTGAATATGAGTGAAGTGAGTGAATTCTTTAGAGCCCCATCTTTAAAGGTCAGACTAGCAGTCATGTTGTTAGAAACTCACCTTCTTGCTTACTGGGCAGTCACTGCAAAGGCAGACATCAGCTTGGGGCGAAGTGCGTACCTTGCATCTCTTTGGGCTCCTGTGGCTGCAGCTCCTTTTATTGGAAGCATAGTAGGAATTTGGAGTGGCAGAGAAATGGAATGGGTAGTCTGCATACCTTAAGGCTAGAGTCTTAAATGCGGGCCCCTCTCATCAAATACTCTGTTCTTAAGAAAATAATGACAGAAATTCATAATCAGAGGAGCTATGAAGAATTACTTTCTAGCTCTATCATATTTTCTGAGGCCTGTGCTATGTAAAAACTTGGCCCAAGTTTTGTTTCCGGTACAAAATACTGTTTTTGTGTTCCTTGCCACAAAGAAGGACCTGTATGTACTAATTGATTGTTATCATTGTCGATGAAGCAACCTTTCTAAAGACTGATTTTTGATATGGTTTTGTGGTTTGGAGTGTAGCATAAAAACAAAGAATAAGCTCAGGCACCTGCATGGTCACGCATAGCTGCATTTAAGAAGGCAACTGCTTCTGTTAGTACAAGTGTGTCTACCATGTGTATGTGTGATTGCCTTTCTTTAAGGACATCAAACCTACCTCTGCTTTGAAATCCCTTTTCTGTTGCTCCTCACTTCCTTAGCATCGCTGTTTTCTGACAGGAATGTGTGATGTGATAAGCCTGCATATTTATCCCAGTTTTGTGACTTCTTAACTGTCCAGCAGAAACAGCTTGCACAAGTGGATTTGTGACACTTCTTATCAGGAAAGGCGAAGGTGTTTAAGATTTCTGTTGACTTTTGGGGTTTACTGGGAAGTCTGTTATTACCAAATGGCAGTGGAATCCAAGGGCCTTAAGCAGCCTAATGACAACTTTTGTTTTCAATGAAATATGGATATTATATGTCTGTCAAGTATGTGGGGAAATAGTGGCAAAGAATTTTGAAAGCAATTAATGACTTTGGGTGAGACGTTGAGAAAGTCCTGGACGTTTCACCTTTGCAAGTGTAAAACCTCCTAAAATAGGAAAATCGATATCACTGCTCGCTTATGAAGATCTTAACCTGCAATACACTATTGGTACTGAGAAACTGGCTTTTTTTTTTTAACTGCCTTGTGCTTTATTTGTAGGATAATACTGCTCTTTTTGAGACCCATGATGTTGAACTTATAAAAAAGAACGGGCAAAGCCTGGGGATAACAATTGTTGGATATGCTGGAGCATGCGATGTAGGTGAGTTCTATGAGGTTTAGTCAAGTCCAGGACAGGAGCTTTTCAAATGCTCTTTATTCACTGCACATCAAATGGAGAGCACTTCTTTGAAACAGTATAACCTACAAAATCTATGAAGATGATGTTTAAAGAACTTGCTACAAAGTGAAATTGAGCCATAGATTTTTTTAGAGTTGTAATTATCTTATTAAATGGCTCCCACTTGACTGCTGGACTGTGGATCTTACACCTTTGTGTTGTTACTGTGTTAAACTGTAACAGGGAGTTCCTGCTTATGCAGGCTGCCTACAGTATTCCTTGCTTTGCCCTGTGATACCTTTCACATTTCAGATGGAACGTTTTAAGAAGAGTTTAAAAAACAGAGAATTGCACGTCTCCAGTTTGCATCTGTTTTTGAATGACATCTTCAGTACGTCCAAAATAGCTCAGCGTGCACTTTCATTTATTTAATGAATTGTAGGTTTTAGAATAGACATGATCAATCGGATTAAATAGTCCATTTCTCTGCCAGGCAGGGGGTACAGAGATTCTCAGATGAGTGTGATGTGTATGCCACTATCACAGGGTGATTTGTGACTCTTTGGTGGATGAGTGTTTCTGTACCTAAACTTAGGGAACAGCTAAAAATACCTTTGCTAAGATATTTTTTCCCCTTTTAAGACTGGATGACAGCTTTAATGTGAACTGTTGGTTTCACAAATGATAGAATCTTCTCATAGCACTTGATAAAGTATGCTGGGAATGTGATGCAGGTAGGATTGCGTTACTGCTCTCTTGATTGCCAGGGCATACTGTGGGCTTGCTGTTGAGGAATCTCAGGCTGGTGTGGTGGGTGCTGAGGACTGGGTCAGGGAGGCAAAGAGAAAAGGTGGGTTTGTAGTGGCAGCAGGGGAGATTGCTGAGCGTGGAGAAGTCGTGTTGGACAGATATCAGAGGAACTTTAGTGTTGACAAAAAGATGGATGAAGTGCCAATATGGTTAAAGATCAGCTTTTTTTTTTTTATATGGGGACTGTGGGGAGGTGGTGGAAGGGAGAAGTTACTATTTCAACTGGTGATTATACTATTGTGGATTTGTTAGTTGTGGGTTTTTTGTTGCTTTTTTCTTTTTTTACTTTCCTACATCTAATTAGAAGTTAAAATTAATAATCAAACTTCAAACATGACAAAGGACAGCTTTTCTGATTACCATGTTTCCCTTTTTTTTTTCTTTTTAAATCCTTTTTCATTAAGACTTAAAGGACTAAATTCTTTAGCTAGAAGAGGATGATTGAAGTCTTGATCAAAGTACTTAAGCACATACTTTACTTTTAGCTTGGGTAGTCCTGTTGAAATCAAATGCAGCATGGATTTATGTGATTGTGGTTTAAGGCCCATGAAATGAATGAATCCATGGAGGAGGTGGCCTTCTGTGAGCCACTTCTAAGAAAAAATATCAAAGTCAGCATATAGGTTGTGTGCTGCTTGTGCCACTGCTAGTTATTTCCTTCAGATGTCCTCAGTTACTCCATGTCGTGCTGTGTAAAGTGGTCATGTGCAAATGTTGGTTGTTTGCAGCATTGTAGCTGTGTGGACAACTGCGCGAGAAATGCTGTAGTTAAAAAAGCTTAATAAGGAAATAAATCAGGTTATCTTAATGACTTGTTTCCCTTCCTCCCTTGTCACTGCCAGCAGAATCCTCAGGGATTTTTGTGAAAAACATAATACCTGGCAGCGCTGCTGACCACAATGGCCAAATTCACGTTCATGACAAAATTGTTGCTGTAAGTAAAATATTCTGCTTATGTACTGTAAACTGATGGTCCATTTCACGTCTCAGCATTGAAAGAACAACTTACTAGAGACTTTCTAAAATTAATTAAGCCTTCTCTGCTTTGTAAAGTAAGAATTTGTTTAGGTAGAATAGATGAAACATCTTAAAATGTTCCGTTTGAATTTTTACAGCAATGAGCTTCGGCTTTCTGTGGTTAAAATATTTTTTGTCGTTGTTCAAGTAAGTATTAAATGGTAGTTAACTATCAAAGAGGCAGGCATTTGGATTAAAATGTTTGAGTGGAGAATCTTGGCTTTTGGCCTAAAGTAAAGATGAGAAGCATTAGCTTCTATTGAATTCAACGGGATTTGAGGGTAGTTAAGATTTTGCAAGATGCAGCACACTTTATGATCTTAATTAGTGTGTAGAATACTGTGGATACAATCAAAATATTAATAGTCACAAGTAATATTTGAAAGCCCAGAATTTATCTGTAGAAAACTTGAAAGCTTTGAATAGGACTGATTTGAATAATGGGCAATATTGCATTCACAGAACAAGCAGGAATGAATCGCACGATCTTTTTATTTCCAGAAATAACATTTATGATCTAAAAATGCTCTTTGCAGTCGTGTGCTGTACCAGGACCTTCCCAAGTCAGCTTCTCCTTTACGAAAGTGAAATTTTGATATCAACTTCAGCTTTTATCTGCTGTTTGCAGGTGAAGCCCCTATAGATGTGTGATGTAACAACAAGAGTATACAGTAATCTAACTGTAAATTGAAACATCTGAATTTGTTTATTAATTAAGCTGTTCAAAGTTGATTATACAGTTGTGTACATAGGGCTGTGTGCAGTATGCTAGCAGTGATTCTTAACTGAAAAGATGTCTAGGTTGACTATTCTTGCTTCATCCGTGATGCTTTTCAAGTTGTTCTTTGCAAATTAAAAGAAAAAATCGTAGGGAGAAATCAGTGCACACTTAGAATAGCAATCTCCTGTTTTATTGTTGGCCCATGAACACAAGAGAAACTACTGCTGTGTTTCCTTTCAAAATGCATTTTGAAAATTTTGTCCAATCAGTGAAATGTAACTGTTTTCATGAGATAGCTTTTGCAAAATCTTGGGTGAATAACCTTGTAACATCTGCACAAAATAATGTGGACATCCCTTAAAATGTACGGTACAGCATAAGCATGGGATGTGACAACTGCTATATGATGTGATTTAGGTTGATGGAGTTAATATACAGGATTTTACCAACCAAGAAGTGGTAGAGACGCTGCGTAACACCGGGCAGGTTGTACGCCTCACCTTGCTCAGGAGGAGGCCTTCGACTGGTTCTTCAGAAAGATGTTCAGATAAAGGTAAGACTTTTCTTTTCCCCTCCCTTTTTCAGTAACTGATTTATCTGCTGAATTTACAGTGACTTAATCTAACAACTAGGACTAAGTCCCACGTGATTCTAGATTTGGTAAGGGCTTACTGTAGAAGGTGAAATACTCCTATGTAACCAAAACGCAAACAAAAATGGCAGAAAAAGAAGTGTTGTTACTTCTTCATATGTTTTGCAGGATCTGTCTGATTTATTTTTTTCCCATCTATTTTCACAGTGCTGCCAAGTGTTCCAGCTTTAGCATCTTCTGGAGCTTTAGGGACTGAAACTAATGTGGACAGTAGGAATGAGGAAAACCAAAAACAAAAGGGTAATTTTCAAAATGGAACTAAGCAGATTCTGCATAAATCAGGTGGATAGAATGTCTCACAGTGTTTCTTCTAAGTCTTTGAAAAAGCCTTTAACCTAGTTTCAATACTGATTATCTGTCATGGCCTGTGTGGTCTTCAGTCTTTGTTCCGTAGGGCCTTTTATTCAAGTCCTTTTTGAAGTAAAGCATTACCTGTTAGATCTATCAACTCCTTCGCCCAACCTCATACCCCAAAAGTAACACTGTCCACAGACTTGCTGGCATGTTGGTAGATAACATCCATGGATGTTACAGCCCTTTCAGGACTATAGAATGAATCCCGTCGGCTCTGTACAGCTGAATTGCTCCAGCTCACTTGCTCTTCTTTCTGTCCATGATCTTTCTCTGATGATGTGAGCTGTCCTGCCTGCAGTCTTCTGACAGAATTTTTTCATCATCTCTGCTGTCAGGACCTTGAACCAAATCACTAAGTGAACAGCATGGAGATGGAGCATTCCTCTTCCTGCCAGAAGTCACAGTCAGTTTCTACCCTCTTGGGAGTTCACCTTTACTTGGCAGTCCAATCTTTCCTCAGTCATGTCTTCCCTCTTGTACTTGCAGGTCTTAAGCTCCCACCTCTGCAGAGCCTTGTCTACATATTTGTTAGTTCATGATGCCCATTTGTTTTGTCTTCTGGCCCTGCAGACACTTGATCAGAACTCACCTCCTGAGCTCCTTGACCTGGCCTCTGGTGGCCTGTGACCTGGGCTGCAGCAACTTTTCAGGAATTTGTAAATGAACAGGGCTTGCTGAAGTACCAGAGCTGACTGCAGCACCAGGGATGGGGATTCATGTCTTGTGACATCTTCATTTGTAGGTCATTTTCCATGAGTAACTTCTGTCTCATCTGTGTACCAACTGCCTCCCTCCTGTTTGCTTGCCCTGCTTATTGTGCTCCTGATCACTGATATTTCCTGGAGTGCCAGAGAAGCAGGAAGCCTGGCATAAGTTACGTTGACCTCCTGTGAGATTCCTGACTTGGCAATGAGCCTCTCATTGCTGCCTGCTATTTCCCAGACCCAACTCATTTATCTTGCAGCGCTAATATCGTTGCATAGTGCTTCCTCCCATACTACTGCTGGAAACTAGAGTTGAGTCCCTGGCTTGCTTGTCCTGAGCATACTAGATGGACTGGAAGGCTGTTGACTGCACACTAGTGTAGCTAGATGAGAATCTGGCAAAGGCATTATAAAACCTGATAACTGGAATTGGAAGCTGGATAGGAGTTGAAATTAGACATGCGTTTTTACCATTAAAGGCAGTTGGGCATAGAGACAGATCACAAAGGCATGGATTTCTTCGGGCTTGGTCTTTCCAGAAGGTATGCTTCAGTTCTCTGCTGATTTCTGGCCGTATCTACAGTAACTTCTGGGTGAATTTCTACAGATTGTGTTGAAGTCAGCATAAATTATCCTTATGCCTTGTAGTTTCTTAAATATGTAGATGCAATTGAGGAGTCTAAATTATGACTGTCAATGAATAACAATTTTGCTATGACTGTGGAAGATCTGTCAGTATTAAAGACAACCTGGAAATGAGAGGAATGTTAGCAGTTTCTATGCTCCATTCTGTTTTACTTTTCTGTCCAAGCCTTATAACCAGACATCCTTTGTTGTGACTTTTGCATGTTCCCAGAAATAGGAAGCCAAAGCAGAGGTGATTGAGTAGCTATGGTTTAAGGTTATCAAATCATTGTTTTAGCTGCATGAGTGAAAAGTGTGTATTGATCTGTGTTTACACTGGTAGAAGAATTTAAGGACTTAGCAGTAGGATGTATTTAGGAGCTGCAGAACGTTTTTAGGCTCAGAAGAGCCAGGAGGACTTAGGCTCGCTGTGCCAGAGGCTGGAAGAATAATACACTGTTCTGTTTCAATTACCTAGTCCTTTCTTTGCTCTAAATCCTATTGAACTTTCTGTGCATAAGGTCTTCTGGTGAAGTGAACAATATCTCTGTAGTCAATTCCTGACTACTTGTGATTGGGTTATTTTGTGTCACAGATGTCTACTCTAATACAAAGAGAACTTCCTGAGGAATTTGTTACCTGGCACCTAGCACTGTGCTTGTACAGTACATCAATGCCAAGACCAGTTTGTATGGGGAACCAAAATGGCTTTTACCTGTCTTGAAGTTACCAAACCCTTTGTCTCAAGATGCGATATCTACACCTGTCTTAGAGCTTTCTGTCCCGCTAAGAGGCAGCTTGGATCTAACTCTATTCTTGAGCCCTTTTCACTGCATACTCAGTTTCTTTGGTATGGATCCATTGCCTCTCCATAAATGCACCAAAGCTCCTAGTTTTTGTAGCTGTTTGTAACCAAATTTTATGTATTTGAGCGGCTCCCCCTCATTTCCAATGCTGTGCTAATCTCATGATCCCTTTCTTGGAGCACTATGGAGTATGGTGCAGATGTACCTGAGTGAGAAGAACCTTGATGCCTAGAATTCATACCTCCTGGCTAGACCCTTCCTGTTTGCTAGCAGAGACAGTATCATGGTGCATCAGGGAGCAAGTATACATGGAAGAATGGAAAAACCCATAGTATAAAAGTTCCCCTTACCCTGGATAATGCAGATTGATGTGTTTGTTTGCACAGTGTGTCTTGAGATATCAAAATTTAATCAGTGCAGGTATTCTTTGTCTGAGTTGGATGTTGCCCTTGGTGTCATCTGGTTGTGCTGGTCCTTTTGGGACCTTCAGGAAAATGAAAGGGACGTGGTTTTATGATGGAGTACAGAATCGGTGGCCTTTAATAAGCAAACATCATTGCTTGATTAAACTGATTTTTCATAGGGAAAAACCACGTTAATTTACAGGGTTCTGCAAAACCTTTTTGCTATAAAATGTGTGTATCTTTGCTAAAAAGTTGAAATACTTAATTGCAAATTCTATCCATGCTGAAGTATGATGTCTAAGATTTCACCTCTGTGTCGTCGCCAGATTCCAAAGATAGGTGCTTATTTTGGACATGGTGATGGACACTTCATTATAATGGTGCTAAAGTAAATACTGCTAATTGGAGGCTCCGACTGTTCTCTGGAAATGCTTTTAAAAGTTTAATGCAAAAAGTATGTTTTCTAAATTATGTATTGCTTCCCTTTAAGCCCAGTTGCGTGAAATTCTTATTAAATTGTGTTTCCTGGAGAGGTATTAAATACTAATTCTGACCGGGCTAAGATGTGCTTAAACAATGCTGTTACAAATGCAACACGGTTTAGGATGCAGTGCGCACGAGGCCTGAAACTTTCTGCTAGCACACCAAGGGCAATTAACTTAACAGCTGCATCTGCAAGGCTGCAGGCTGGGCAGAACTGCTTTCTTCTACCTTGAAGCAGCACTCAGGATCTGAAGATGTGATGATGGTAGCCAGGAGCTTAAAGATGGCTGGAGAAAAACACCCAACAGTAAGGGGAGATGAAGTGTGTTAGTGAAATATACTAGAGTACAGGAGATGGAGGATGAAAGGAGTCCTTGTGTAGTGAGTTTATGAAATCCAGAGGAGATTGCAAGAAGAAAAGATTCCAGTTCAGAAGAAGCCAGCAATTTTGCCCCCAAAAATACGATTTTTACAGTACGTGTGATTGTTTCTTTTTTAATTGATGCTGCCTAGTGAGAAAGGAAAAACTGTGGTGAAGTGCAGGCAGAAGGACAGGAGTGTAATGATGTTGAAAGTTATTGCTAATAGAAGCTGTTCTGGGAAGCGTTTTCATTTCTGAAGCACATTCCAGAAGATGTAGTACATATCTCAGGTCATGAGAAGTCCAGCTGGGTGAGAAACTAAAGAAACCTTCTATTAACTATCACGTGGAAAAAGCTGTTTGGGGAGGAAAAGGAGCATTTAGGTGAATTGAGCGACAGCGTTGGAACTAAATGTATCTAATCCAAACCTGCTCGTCCTGCTGTTCCACAGTTCTGAGGAAGTTACACACAGAGACTTCCAAGCGTGTGTGAAATAAAGGTTCAAACTTCACGTGGAGATGTGCGTCAGCACTCGTTCTGTACAGCCTATAGAGTTTTGGTAATGTGTTTAGGAACTGATGAAGAAATCTGTTTTCAGCCAATTGGAGCATAGTTTACAGTTGCTGAACTGAACTTTGAGCCTCATCCTAAGATTTATTGCTCCTGGTGAACCTTAAAATCCGTATCAGACTGCACAGGGCTTTGCAGATTCTGAAGTCATGCGTGTTCAAGCTTGGAAATAGTCAGAAAAGAAACTGCAGAATTTTTGTTTCTAAACGTTTATGCAAATAGGAGGAATAAGAAGATGCACTGATGTTCTGTTTTTGCTACAGTTGGGAAGTAAATGATAGCGATCAGCCTGTGCTGGATAATACAGCTCATGAAGAAGACTTCTCCCTAGGAACTTCAATTAAATTCAGATGGAAGAAAAAGTCTCCAGACGTGTTCCAGAATTGCAGTACAAATTGTCTTCTCTTGTATAAAGATAATTTATTTCAAAGAGAGCTGTGGTCTGTACCTAAAAACAAAGAAAGAAACAAAAAAAACAGCACCCAAGTTTTCATGATCGGTGGAGTTTCTTTTGGTGACAGAAAACAGCCATCTGAATTGCTGGAATCCTTGAATATCTAAGTCAACTTGAGACTGTTGCTTAAAGGCGCACTGGATGTTCCCAAGTGAAACCTCGGTTCCTAGGCTGTAAGCAATGTAATTTCTCAGAGCAGGCCAGACAGAATTTGCCTGTCTGACATGACAGAAAGCGATGGAGGGAATGCAGTTATGTTGTATAACTTAACTTTATATCTTTATTTTTAATTAGTGGAAAACTTCAAAGTTCTAAGATGATGAATGAGGATTCTATTGCAAAGCTCACGTTTTATCTTTGCAATCTATGAAGGTGTTGAAAGCAAAGGCAGCTGGGCATCCCATGTGTCTTTGCTGTTCCTACTAGGTAGGTTCTGAGCTTCTTGGTGATGACTTCGAAATCTATCCCACTCCCCAAAGTGTTTTGCTTGCTCATTTGCGTGCACAATGTGAGGTTGTGATTTACATTCTAAGTTTCTGTGTGACACGTGGGCAGTACTAAGTGGTCTGTGCCTTGTCTAGACATCTGACAAACTATTACAGTCATTCAGGGGGAAAAAAACAGTTTTCAGTAATTCAGACCCCAGTTGCTGCTGTTGTAGCTGCTAGATGGAATTTGTAGCTGTGGAGTTTGATTCCTACCAGTTAAACATTGCTTCAGCTTGGAACTTTATATGTGTGCTGAGCTTCTGGAGGAGGTCAAACGCAGGGCAGCCAGTCATTTTATGCTGTCTAGCTCTGTCAAATTGTCTTACATGACTGTAATACTGCCTTGGTTGCATAAGTAAGAAAGCTGAAAAGATATAAATGTCAAGATAGGCAAGTTCCCACGGAAGACTGGTTTAGAACTGGAGCTTATATTAAAGCTCATGTTACTTACTGGCCTAATTAAACTAGACAAGCCTTTGTACCTGCCAAATGTATAAATACAGTGTACAACTGCATTGTGCTTACACAGCTCCATGATAACAGCAGTATCTTGTCAGGTGTTTTACTTCTTCAGGGGTTCATTTTGGTGGAAGATAATGGTCCCTTGGAGCAGCATGCATTTTTATAGCAACAAATTATGAAGTCATGTGAGATTTATTTTGCAGCCTGAAAGAATGATTTATTTACAGTACTATATGGTACAGAACTCACATCTCATCAATGCAAGCATCACCTCTTCTGCCACTCAGCTGAATAAATCACACTTTAGCACTAGCTGACGTTTTGCATTGTTTTCCTTAGAAAGTCATTTTTGATTTGCACTGCTTGATAGACTCAGCTTAATGCAATTTCTTTTTTTTTTGCATATCTGATTATTTCCTCTAATCTTTTATTTACACTGAATTTTTACCAAAGCGTTTAGAAGCAAATGTATTTCTGAATGCAAAATGTAAATTTAATCCTGCCTTTCGTATTTAGGAAGAGACCCATTCCCTCCTGCATATGATCTAAAGTCCAAGTGGGAAAACCTGCTGGGCCCTGAATATGAAGTTATGGTATGTTACCTTTCAGTAAACTACATTCATGTGTGTTATTTTTTAAAATTACAGCTTTGTGAGCTTATTACAGGCTGTTTATAGAACAGTTCAGCATTTGGAACAGATCAGTAACATCAAGTTTTGTTTCCATTAGCATCGGGGCTGAAATACAGAAATGGTATAGCTGATACTTTTTGTAAATACTGTTTATATAAATACTATTGTTAAATCGTTACACAGATACTAGACAGAAATGGAGATTTAAGAAAATTGGCAGTCTTTTTAAATCTACATCACAGCAGCCACTTAAAATATGTGGCATTTTTATGATTTTAGTTAGAAACTGTTAGGTTTATTGCACACTGAAAAGAAAAAAAAAGAACAACCACCACAGTTCAAGATAGAATTGTGATGTTTCACAAATAATCTAAGGATTTGATTAGAAAGATGTAAGAATGATTTTCAAACATACTGGAAGCACAGGAAGTAATTTGAGGTAATGTACCTTCATGGTGCCAGTGCCTATTAGATATTTCTTCGCCTTGTATTAAATAATTGCCAAGCAAAAGATTGTTTTGATGAATTGTCATAAGGAGCTGACTGAAATGGTAATTTGCTATTGCTCTTCAGTGCCACGGTAGCCAATGAGTACAGATTAAAAGAAATTCCAGCCAACCTTCCTTCTGAAGCCTTAAAAAATTCTCGCCGCCACCAGCGAAATGCCCTGTTTGTCTTTGCAATGCTTGTCCAGTTGATTTAGAGACACTTATTTTTACTGCTTGGAGTAGCCATCATTCCAATTGCTCGCTGGAAGATTTAAAGTAGCTTTAAGAATTGTCTTGAGAAACTCGCTTCGCTTCTTTCCATTAGCACTGCTTTAAGATCTGAAGTTCGTATAGGATTATGTACATGGTGTCATAAATCTGGTTGGCTGCCCACTTCAGTTGCTTGGTATTCCCATCCTTACATTTTGAGAGTCTGATATTTCCTCCTTAGCACTATCGTGCTTCCCACAGAGGACAGAAACCTGCTTAGTTTGTGAAACTGTGCATTTCTAATTCTTGAGCTGCTGCCAGGAAAATGGCAGGAGTGAAAATCACGGAATCACTTAGGTTGGAAAAGACCCTTCAGACTGAGCCCAGCCATCAACCCAGTGCTCCAGGTCCAGCAGCAAGCCGTGTCCTGCGTGCAGCATCCGCATCTCTTCAAGATCCCCAAGGACAGCAATTCTGCTGCTGCCCAGGGCAGCACGCTCCAGTTTATGTGAAGCAATTCTTCCTCATACCTGATCTAAACCTTCCCTTGCACAACTTGAGGCCATTCAGTGCTAACTGTGGTTGAGACGTTCATAGTTGGTCCTTTTTAAAAATAGAAGGAAGCTGTTACAGCACCCTGTTTTGAAGGTCAGTTTTTGGTTCTTCCAGTTTTTGTCATCTGCTCTGCTTGGCTGCATTCCATAACAGTGTTTAGTTTGATTGCAGCCTAATGGCTCGCTCCCTGTTTCTCACTGTCCTTGCCCCTACACTGAGATCCCCTGAAACTCACCCTAAAGGTGACTGTGAGTCAGAGGACTTCTCTTAAGTATTTCTCTTCAGAGGAAATCGTTGTTAGAAGGGAGGATTTAGTGTCGCTGGTGGCTTCCAGTCCTTTGTGGCAGCAACTTAAGAACAAAACTGAGATCCTGTTGAAAGGAAAGAGACGCTGGGAGCCTGTTTGGGGATTTATGGCTGTGTGGTGTTTGTTGCCAAGTACCTAGCTGAGAACAGTCGGGCTGAGGAGTTATCAGTCCTAGATTCATTTAGTTACAACTGAGTGGACATGGAACAGATTCTGTCTGTTGGGAAAAATACCCGAGGTACAGGGGTGGAAGACAGGACTCTGGAAGCCCCATTTAAAGTGAAGCTGAAGGAGGGAGCCGAGACTTAAGGTTGCTTTGTAGATACTTTGTTACGCTAGGAATTTCCAAGGAAGCCTGAATGGAAACAGTTACTTGATTTTTGCAAGGCTGTGTGTGTTTCCAATCTAACCAATAGAGCTGGCATCCCAAAAATCTCAGTGACAGTGACCCAGACTTCAGCCTTGGACCGTAGATCACTACAGATTTCATCTGATTACAATTAAAATTTGAATAAATATCCTTCTATGGCTACAAATGAATTCTGTTAAGGAAGAGATCCACAAAAAAAAAAAAAAAAAAGGTGGAAAACATTTAGAGTTATTGCATTCAAATTGGAAAAAAAAAAATCCTAAAGAAGGACTGAAGGGATTTCTTCTACCTCTTGTATATGATTCATTTTGCATTCAAATTTGTAATTAAACTCATGTATTTCAAGCTGTGTTAGAAACGTTCTGGGGAAGATAGTGATTTAGTCTAGATGTTAGATGGTTCTTCTGGTGTCTGAAATAATAACTTAGGCCATTGTAATGTTCAGTTCTGATTGGCAAGTTGCTGTGGGTATTTGTGTCAAATGTAATGGCATTTTGTGCTTATAGAGGATTACTGGACTTGACTAAAATTGTCACTCCGGCTTCAAGAATAGGATAATATTTGAATCTGCTAATAAAGCATAATCACAACATTGCAGAATGTAAGTGTTGGGCATCAGAGACTTTCTAACACTCATTTAAAATTATTCTGCATCAATGTGACATTGTCCTGGTATCAAAAATAGTTATGCTGTATAATTCCTTAGGTTGTGAACGTGGACATGCCCATTACAGATGACTCAGAACTGCAGAAGTACTCAAAGGTATGACTTGCATGTTTTTTTCCTTCATGGCACATGTTGACATCTATGACTCAAAATTCCACATTTGTTTATTTCATAAATATTTTCATAACTGTTTCATAAATTTGGGGTGATTCCACTTTTCAGTCTCTTTTCCAAAAGAGGCTGCCTATGGTCTGCCTATTTTCTGTTGTGGTCCAAAGCATTTTTAGTGCAATGGGCAAATGTTCCTTTAAAAAAAAACAATCAATCAAAAAACCAAAACAACCAAGCTAAAATTTTGCAAAAGCCTCAAATTACTGGGTGCTTAATTGCATTGAAATTCAATTGTAGAATACTTGCTGAAAGTTGCTGCAGAATGAAGTAGGGTTTGAAACTCTATTCAGTGTCACAATCCTGTGCAGGGATTCAGTGCAGTGATCCAGCCTTGGGATGGAGTGTCCTTTTAGTTAGGATGTTAGAATTCCTTTCTTCTGAAAATTCTGGTAGACTTTCTAGGTATGGATGCTAGTACTGCAAAGCAAAGGTTTTGAAGTGATGCGTTTATGTGCTTCTGGGGATTTCTCAGTGAAGAAAGACCATGAAGTCAGAATAAGGCATGGCTGTGGGGAAATGATGATGAATGGATTGCTCCTATTTGCTTTAAGCATCCAGAATAAACTGGGGAACCAGGAGGAGATTCGGTGTTTCAACTTAGGTAATAAAGAGCCAGAAAGTTGCCCAACTGAGGGAGCAGCTGCTGCTGATCATCTCTGCCTCCTCTCCGTGGGTTGCTGTGATCCCTGCTGTCTTGTCTGGATCACACAAAGACAATAAGAATCGGAGGCTTTCTGAAGGGGAGAAAAAGTAGAATAAAAGGGATTCCACAGGAAAAGGCTAACACAAAATCAATGAATTTCCATTGCAGAAATAAGATTAAACGTTTGCAGAGGATGCCATGGATATTTTTCCTACTCCAAAAGTAGTGTAGATCCTCAAGGGTCAAGACAGCTGATCCTGCGATGGGTTGGTGTTGACTTAGCATTAAATGGTCGTGTTGGAATTTCTGTCAGCTTTTTCAAAACTCACTGTTTGGGTGGGATAGACTTACGTGAGTGGTGCTTCTCTTCTGTGTGTTTTTTTTCAAATGGCAGCATTGTTTAAGAGTACAGTGCAAAGGATTCGTGGATTGTTTTTACTTGTGTAGATGGTTTGTATAGAGAAATTCTGGACACTTGTGCTGTAACACAGCCAATGTGAGTCAATAATTAAGACAATAATTTCACCGTGTTTAATTTGAGCTGTTAAGTCTTAAATGTGTTCGTATCATAGTAGGTGCAGATGCACACTGTCTCATCTTTTGGCAGCTATTACCCATCCATACTTTGAGATTAGGAGTTGAGCTTGACACGTTTGATGGACATCATTACATATCATCAATTGCTTCAGATGGTCCTGCTGCAACACTTGGTCTTCTGCAACTGGAGGATGAACTTCTAGAGGTAAAACAAACAGAAGTAGTGCATTCTTTAAACCTTTTCTAAAATGCTCCTATTAGATTTTAGTTTGGTTGCAGTGTGTGCAGTACTAATTTTAATGAGTTGATTGTGAAAGCAGAGCAACTCTCTGGAAGCCTCACGTTTTCTTCACCATTTCATTCCTCCCTTGTGCACCTCCTTGTGACCTCTTAGTGACTTCGTGCTTTTTTCTGAAGTGTTTAACACGATTATCAGGAATCACAAGGGCAGAGATAATAGTTACTGAATGCAGATGTTTCTGTGGTCCTTCAGTTTTTTGAGCAAACTGGCATTAGCTTTTGTACTCTACCTGGTGGATAATATTTTTCCACTCCTGAAAAAAATGTACAGCAGTCTCAGAAATTCCTGTTAAGCATTTTAACTTGCTTGTTGAGTCTTGAGAGACATCAGTGTCTGAGAGGTAGTACATCAGTTCAAATGTGTATAGAGAAGTACTGCGATAGCTTGGAAGTTATCAGAATCAGACCAGACCTATCAGCTCAGGAGGAATATACCTTTAATCAAATTAAAATAATACCTGTTTTGTGTTTGTGTCTATCAACATCTCAGCCTGCAAATAAGTAGTCATTAATTTCCTGTTGAACCCTCTTTATGAAATAGTTTGAATATTTTTAGTGGATACGAAGAACACTGAATTGACATCAATGGGAACAGAGTTGAGCCTTCTGAAAGATTAATTTGTTAGCTGTACTGCTCTATTGCCTTTACTTGTTGTTCACCCTTTGATGTTGATCAGAAATTCATACTGATATCACTAAGATCTAAACCATCTCTTTCTTTATCGCTTAATGGAGGAAATCTCGATTCCTGAAGGAAGAGATTAATGGAATGCTGAAAGTGTCATTTAAATTTCTTGGCCACTAAACAAAAAGTTGTATGGTAAAAGCAATTACTGCAAAGTAATTTAGGAAACTTTAATTCTGTATTTAGTTTTTATCAATTTTGCTTATTACTGTGTATCTACAGTTAAGTACACAGATATGTCCAGACACAGTGAGCATATATTTTCCTTTTCTGTAGCTGGAAAAAAAATAACAAAATCAAAATGTGCTCCAGGGCTAAAGTTATATATGCCAGGTTTAACCCAGAGTATGTTTTTGCAGCCAAGTTATAAATCCCTTTAAGTAGAGGTTTGCAATGGAAAATGTGACAGCCCCATTTCCCAAACAAGCAGCTCTACCTGGGCCTGATACAAGTGGGATTAAAATGCAATCAGTACAGGAATTTTCTTTAATATATAGTGAGGTTGACTGCTGATTATTTTTAATGATGTGTTTGAATTATGATAGAAAACATGTTTTTTTTTTTTTTTCTCTAATTTTAGCTGATTTCATTGTGTTCTTTTTTAGAAGTAAATTGCTTCCTCCTGTTCTTCCAGTTTTGTGAGAGAAATTTCACTGACTCCTATTTGATATCACAACTAACTGGAGGGTTGTGGTAACCGAAGGGGGTGCTTGGCACCTTGCGTGTCTAGAGACCAATTTCTGGCAGCTGCAAAAGCAGAAATGGGAGTCCCCAAGTCTGCTTGGGAGTGAGCAGTAGCTCTTCTCCATCCATCACAATATGCTGAGAAATGCTGGTAACTTTCCACCGCACTGCCAGTCTCAATGCATTAAAAAATCCTTACGCGTAGATACTTCTGCTTAAATAATTAACTAATGGATTAGCCTGATAGCTCAGCAATTGATGCAGTTCTTACAGAAGAAGCATGGCAGTTCATCTTACAACGTTGCAGACGAGCTTTAGCATTCTGAATTTTCACCTTAGGTGTTCTTTAGTAGGAGAGGAACTCTGATCCTCAGCAGTATGAGCTACATTTATACTGTAAAGCGTGCGAAGAAAAGATGGAAAAAATAAAATCTGATGAAAAAATGGTGTGTAACGTGAGTTTGCTGTGTAATCTTACCAAACAACTTCAGTTATTTCCACTTTGGTTTGGTCTGTGTTGTGGAGTAGATTTGGAAGTAGATTAGTTGAAATCCAGCCATGCTGGGCATTTGGTCACAAGAGCAGATTTGAGGTGGCCTCAAAGAGAGCCCTGAGATAAAGGCAGGGTTGATATTGACTCCATAGCACTCACTCAGTTAAACCTCTTCTCTTTTGGGGCTGCAGTGCTTGTCAATGGAAGTCTTCATGTTGACACCCACAACACACACTGACAGTTTGCATGGCTCATATTCAGCAGCATTCCTAGGGGGCAAGTTAGATGTAGCCTCACAATACTGCATTAGTGAAGCATACAAAAGAGGATCCATCCCTGTATTTTTATTTTCCTGAGGGAATGTAACTGCAGTGTCCCATTTTTAAAGCAACGTTATTACTTTTTTAGAAGTGTATGGCTTAAAATATTCATTAACAGTGGCCTTATCGTCTTCTTTTGTCACTTAGGAGCAATAAAGGGTGTGGGGTTGTAACCTTAGGCCTTAGTCAGGGTTTTCTGATTAATTGCTCACTGTACTTGGCTTTTCTACTATATAGCCATTCTTCCATGTTTTGTGTAGGATCTGTATCAGTTTCAACCAATTTGTTACAATTTGAAGCACTGACAGATGTGCCAGTTTTGACTTCAGGTTTTTTATTGGAGCTGAAATCTGTGTTTTCTTGAACGTTTTTGAAAACTGAACATTTCTGTTTAAATTCAAATAGATAAGCCTAATGGATTTGGAAAAAAAGAAAAAAGAAAAAAGAAAAAAAAAGGGCTATTGCTAACAAAGAAGCAAGTCAGAATAAAAGTAATTTCTAGAAGAGTTTGCGCTAGGAAAAATAGTGACTGGAAAATGAATTGTAGGATGTTGAAGAAAGCAGAGAGCTGATGTAGCAGTAGTCACAAGATCAAGTTTAACATTCATAGTAATGTGTATATGTATACTTAAGGAGCACTTGTTAAGAAAACAATGCAAGCTTTGCTGGAATCCCTAGGTAAAATGATCTTCACATGCAGCTAAGTAAAGACAAGTACACCAAAACTGATGAAAGTAATCTGGTTGATATCCTTCCATATAACTCTGTGTGGATGTGTGTTTTCTGTGTAGGTCAATGGAGTTCAGCTGTATGGCAAATCACGCCGTGAGGCAATCACCTTTCTAAAAGAAGTGCCACCTCCATTTACAATGGTTTGCTGTCGGCGACTTTTTGATGACGGCAGTGAGTCTCTTGTGGATGAACCCACTGCGAGAGTTCCATCTCCAGAACCAAAGGTAGACTTCTCGTGGCATTCAGTTGGGTACAATGAAGATCACTTCACGTGCATGTGGTTCTGAGAAAGTAATTTAGCCTTCTAGAGAGAGTGTTTGTTTTCTTTTTTTGTTGTCGTTGTTTGGTCCAGACTTTTCAATCTTAATGTTTCTAAATATACATTTGTAGGTATTTAAACCCAGATTTTTTTAGTTGTCATCTGCAGTTGCCTTTGTGACTCACTTTGGGCTTGTAAGGGACTGCTGGTTTTTCAATGAGCGAGAGTTCATGTTTGCAGCAGTGTTACTTATACTTCAGTTTATGCAGGTTGAAAGGGAGAAACTTCATTGTACTATAAATACAAGGCAGGTAAATCACCAGTGCATGCTGACTATGTACATCCTATTCATCATTCTTACACTTAATAGGTGAGTGAGAGCTTTGAATTATACTAAATCACATCCTTGCCACCATTAGCTGATTACTTCCATGTTCTGAGTAGGTTTTTTTTATAGAACTGGAAAAATATTAAACTTAATGTTTCTTTCCATTGCAGAAGCTTTAAAGTCTTGAACTAAAGCTTGACACTTGTAATGGCTGTTCCTATTTATAACAAGTATTTACACCTTGATTTCTCATCTTTTCTGATCTAATTTCCTGGAAGGTAGGATTTCTGGGAGGAGAGTTAAAATGAAATATGGACGTTTAATGGAAGAGTAGAGTGTGCAACACCAAACCTTTTTGTAGAAGGATCTTTCCTTTGCGTACAGAAGTTGTTCCAGTGTGGTTTTGATGTTGTGTCTTATTGAAATCTTTCTACGTGCATACTGTTGTTTGCACGTCTTTGCCATGAGACAGTACTGGGTGAAAGGAGGTCTCTGATGAAAAGGAGTAATCCCAGAATATTTCTACTTTCTTCTGAGAAAATAAGACAAAACAGAGGAAGAAATCTTTCCTTTTGCCTCGTGGATGTGCTCTGTGCAGAGAAATAAAGTCAAAGCAGTGTGAAGTTGCAACTAATGTTTTGCCTGTGACATCGTGTTTTGATAGTTTGTAAGGATTTAACTGGTAAGATCAGTAGCTAGATTAAAACATAAGTTTTAAAAAACAAACAACAGCAACAACAAAAACACAAAAAATTAAGTATTTTGGTATATGTACTTGTATAACAATAAATGCATTCGGAAGTTGTCTTTACATGATGAAATTGAGCAACTTTGCTTCTTTCATAGTTTTTCTGCTGAAATGTAATAGTCAGAAACTGTTCTTTCAAGGTAGATGTGACTTGCATAGTTACAATTTAAGGACCATTTTTTGTCTACATATCAAATGCCACAAGTGTCAGTTCATGTCTAACATCTGGTCTTTCCAGTATGTGACTGTGGTTGCTTAAATCTTTTATGCTAAGATATTTATTTTTTCTTTATGCATCTAATGGGACAGCTGAAGTTCATCAACATGTAACAGGTTAGTAGTATTGCTACAACTAATTTGACTAACACAGGGATGCTTATATGCCAGGTTGGACCCCAGTGCTCAGGATGCTGTATATATCCAAGGCATCTAGTTGGAGAAGGTACAGATGTCTGAAGTGAAACTCATGGTGTTGGATCAAGTTCTACTTCAATAAAAATTCATATTTTAGGGCATGTATGAGTCTTTAATAGTAGTCCAATGTTGAATTAGTAGTGCTTGTAAATAACTGCAAAGCATAGAATGTGAACTAGAGTTCTTATTTTTTAGGTGAAACCTGAAGAAAACATTAATCCTGAGGAAGAAGAAGAAGAAGGGGAATTAGCGTTATGGTCTCCTGATGTGAAAATTATTGAACTGGAGAAAGACAAAAATGGTTTAGGATTCAGCATTTTAGACTACCAGGTACACCTTTCTGTGCCACTAAGCATTAAAAATCCTTCAATCTTTTTTTTTTAATATGTTGCCTCAAAATGTTTGGTGACGTAGATTACTGCGTAATCAACTTGGCACTTGGACCAAGAAACTGTATAGGGAAAAGTAATTCATTTTTAGCTTTAAAGTATAGTGTAGAGCTTGTTCTAAACCAGTCTGATTATTGGACGTGATAAAGTGCAAAGTCTTTAATCAAACTGTACCTCATAACTCCAAGTTTAAGGGCTAAGTGCTAGGGGAAGATTGTTTTTTGTTTTATTTCAACTTAGAATGACTTCTCAACTATGAGAGAACTTTCTTAGGTATTGCAATGTCATTTTCCATATTTAATGAGTCTTTTTCTCCCTCATTGCCTTAAAGCATTTTGTTCATCAAGTGCAGTACTAGCCTGCAGTTTGTGGTCACACACAAGTCCTATAAAGATTTGCCATTTCAGGCATTGAATCAAGCCATGAAAGCAAAACTATCAGATTTTAAAGGAAAGTTTATGAAGGTGGAGCTTTACCACAACTGTCCTTCACAGTCAAAAGGGAATGTCAGGGCTGACAGGTGAACTGGTGTAGCAAACTCACATTTATGTAAATACAAATATGCTTTAAATGATTAGTATAAGATTAGAGCTTGAAGAATCGAATTAATGTTTCTGTTTTGTTTTGTTTTTCAATTATGTTTCCCTGCTTGAACTTTTAAACTGGTATGCTGGCTATGCATTGACGTTCAGGAGCCATTTGTAGCTTAAAACTGGTTTCTCCAAGAAACACTTTGGAGTAGGTTATATATGTAACAATGGAGCTCTTTAGAAATTAACAGAGAAATCTTTAGTTGTGGGAAAATTCTACTAAAGGTCATTAATCCTTCTTACCAAAACACTGCTTTATAGAAACTGATCTGAAGTCAGAATGAAATGTTCTTAATTTTTCTTGTCAAAGTGACGTATTTTTAACATCTAGCCATCATACTTAGAAGGGAGTAAAATAGTTGGATCACTCCTCATAATAATATACACATCACATCTGAATGCTGCCTGAGTGTTGGAGTCTAATAAAACGTATTCAACTGTTACGAATAAATGTCAAGTGCTATAAAATTCAATTATATTTTTGATACAATACAACATGCGTTGGGAATGGATAAAAAAAAAATCTGAAGTATTATGCAAAACCATTAATTCTATATTTTACCAGTGTGATTTAAGATTACTGAAAATAGATCCTGTTAGTCATTTTCACTGACACATGTTGTGTTACAGTGCCAGCTTTACTGTAGAGTTGCTTGGAGTCTTTACAGAGCAGTAATACACAGATTTGCTTTTAAGTTCTCATATAATCAGAATTAATGAAGGCTTTAATAACAGGCTTTTTATTTACTTATTCACAGATGCAAATACATGAGCAATGTTGCGATACTTTCAGCTAAATTTAAATGCATTCTAATCAATTCTAAATGAGTGGTAAACCACTTAATCTCAGATCTTTATAATTTCAACATATTTATGTATAAAGTATGCTCTTTTGTTTGGGATTTGCCTCTTAGATCTTCTACTCTTTTCATCGTCTGCGGATTAATTTTTATATGGAGATGTCTGTGACTGTGCACTTATGTAAATACATCCATCGTATTCTTGAGTTCAGGGCAAAGAAAACAAATAATTGTCCATGCTAGATTGGAGAGGGCAAAAATTGATGTGGTTACTGGGAGACTGTTCAGAAATGCCAGAGGAAGGTTGCTGAGTTGCACAAAATTACAGTGGAGTTTTTAACTGTAGTTTAAAGGATCTGGAGATCCAACTCTGTTTTCGACGCTTCTTTTTACCCTTTTTAAACAGCAACACTTTTGAGATTCATACTTGGCTTTGCAAGAAGAGATTCATGCCTTGTGACAAATACACTGCTTGCACTTATGTCCACCATTCACTGAAAAACAACCAACAGATTACTCAAAACAAAGCAAAGCCAAGATGGATGTTTGCATGGCTTTGTGCCAGTGAGTTGTGTCAGGAATGGACCAACCTTTGTAGGCTGTCGTTCGTGTTGCTGGAGGCAGGGTGCAATGGCAAGACTTGCTGAGAGAATCCTGGAATGGCCTGGGTTGCAAAGGAGCACAATGCTTATCAGTTCCAACCCCCTGCTGTGTGTAGGGTTGCCCCAACTGGCAGACCAGGCTGCCCAGAGCCACATCCAGCCTGGCCTTGGATGCCTCCAGGGATGGGGCATCCACAGCCTCCTTGGGCAACCTGTGAACAGTGCATCACCACCCTCTGAATGAGAGGTGAGTCTGAACAGAAGGCCCTCTCATGCTTAGACTTGCACTGATTGACATTCTGTTATGGAAGCTTTAGGAAATGTACGTTTCAAGTACCCAACTTGGAGGTGATGTAACCGTGTTCTGGGTATTTTTAAGATCAAAATATTTTTGTAGCTGTTGGTTGAAATGGAACTTCATAAATAGCAGTAGGGCTTCAGAAAGTATTAGTAGGAGTGTTTAAATTAGCACAATAGGATAAAAACTGTGATGTGCTATTATTCTTTCTTACTTTCCACCTATGTCAAGTTATGATAATGTCTGAGGAATCCTATTGAAGTACCAGTGTATGCTGACCCACTCCAGTTCCTTCTTGTGGGAGAATGGCGACTAATGGCAACTGTTATCTGCAGGGTTTAAGAAGCCCTGAAATCCTGCTCATCCAGATGTGTTTGCACTGGGGTCTTTTGTGACAGTGAGCAGTGCCAGATGTGCTGCAGAAGTAAAAGAATGCCAAGAGACCAGGCTGCTCATGGTGCTGTGGAATTATCTTCCCACTGCCTTCCGTTATTGTGCTGGATATTGTGCTTCAGTTGTCTGAAATGCTGCAGTTCCCATGTCATGCTCTGAGAAGACAGTATTAATAAAAACTCTTAGTGAAGAAGAGTAGGCGTCCGAGTACTTAGAAAACTGAATGCTGAGATGGAGAAATTATTGCTCTGGTGCATGAATTTTTAATGGGCTGTCTTTCTAATAATGTCTCATCTATCAAATAAATGATAAGCATATCCCAAGTGACTTGCAGGATATTCCCAGAAATGTACAAGCATAATTCCAATGCCTATATATTTTAATGAACTAATTACAAATTAATTATACCAATTATGCATAATCAATACTATCACTACTTTGTCCCGTGTTTTCTTTCCTCTGTCTTGAGGGATTTAAGTGCTCAAGACAGAGCCTTCTCATTAATTAATTAAGGTCCTCTATGAAGGACTGTTCAGTTGTTTCTAAAACTTTGGGTTACTGTTAAAGAAACGGGTGAGATTTAGGCTTTTTATTATGAAGGCTGTATTTGTATACGATCCTATTCAGCTTCACATGATCACTGGATAAAAAGATCTTTTTTTCCTCTTTTGCTGAACGTCCTGATTTCTCATTATATAGCAGGAGATCTTAAAATCTTTGAAAACTGAATTCTTGCTGGCAAGGTTAATACTGGATGAGAAGGGAGGTGGATGAGGAGGGCTGATCTTGTGGTGTATTTCTTGAAATGGTCTATTTCACTGTTTTGTTGTTGTGTTGTTTCTTTTCTTTCCCTGGAGCGTTATGTCTTACTTAGAATAGCAAACATCAAAGAATTATTAGAATGAAATCTTCTGTGTATTTTTCTGTCGTCGCTGCTGTGTTGGCATCCTGTCAAAGCTAGGTGTTGCCTTTTCTGACTAACGCATAGGGACAGGGCTGCAGAGGGAGGTGCACATCCCTGCTGGTGGGCTCGATGTGCTGCCCTGGCTGATACAGCATCAGTAGCCCTGGGGGACCTCAGAGGAAGCAGCCTCCTTGCCGGCCGTCCTACCTTGAACGAGGAGCCTGCCCCATTCCTGGCCATTAAAAAGGTGTGCTGTTCGGTCCTCTGGCCAATTTCTCCACAAAGCAATATACTCTGCCTCCCTTAATTTCCCTGTAATTTCACTTGGAGAAGCTGCTCTCTTTTTTTTCACCTCTTAACTAACTTTTATGTAGTGTTGCTGGCGCAGTTAGCGGCAAGTGGGTCTTGATGGTGAGTGGGGGACCTGGTATACTGTTTGTTAAGTGCTTTGGGATCAACTGATGCAGAGGGCTACACCAGTAGATGTAAAAGCATCTGGCTTGTTAGTACCTTGTCCAGCCTGGAGCTAAACCTAACCAACAAGCCAAGAACTAAGCCGTCATTACTGAGACCCAAACCACCTTCTTACAAAGAAGCGGGAAATGGAAGAGGGCGTGGTGTGTCAGCAGGTTAAATACAGGAGGAATGCCTCATAAAACTAACTGCCATCGCAGGAGGTAGAGTGAGAGGAAGAAAAACTCACACACTTTGAGAGGTAGAAGTGGTGGCAATAGCAGCAAGGGCGCTTTGAGTAGCCCTGAAACTGTTCAGCAAAGACCCAGCGCATGCAGGCAAATAGATTCTGTCAGTAATGTTTTACAGAAATATTGGAAAAACCACAGGTAGCTGAATTGCAGATTTCTTCAGGCAGTATTGACCAGAAGGGAGCTTGAATGGTCTGATGAGCTTTTATCAAATTAAACAAAAAAGCTGAATGGACTTTACGTGAAGCTTAATTTACTGTACTTTGAAGTCAGAGTATTTTAAAGCAGCTGTTTTAAAGTGTGTGAAACTAGAGAGGATGAGGGCTGGAATAGAGAGGGCTGACGTTTTGCATAGCTCATGTGAGATGCTGCTTCACCGCAAGCTGTCCTTGAAAGCCAAGGCCCAGTGCTGGGTGCTGCCGCCCCATAGATCTGTGGGGTGCAGGAGCCTGCAGGGTTAGCTGTGCCAATGTGGGTGTGAATGACTGCCCCTGCATGCAAGAAGTGACAGGCATATCCACACTGCATGAGCCTTGTGCTACCCGGACCTGGAACAGCATGAATTGTCCCTGCCTTCACCCTCCTGGGTCAGTGCTTAGCGGGCTTTCACTTTGATCTAACCATAGGGACTCCACAATCTTCTTATTCCT